GGGGTGTACAAGGGGTAAATTGCAAGAAATAAATGTATAACTAGCAGTATAGGAAGTAGTTATATGAGGTTATTCTTTTTTTGTGACAGAAAAGCAACGAAGCCAACTCTGATTAGCAATGAGGTTATTTTGTGTAAAACAGAGGTACAGAACGCCAGTAGTCAAAACGCCTCGTCGGGTCTACTCCATCTCAATAGTGCCTGGGGGCTTGCTTGTAACATCATAAAGTACACGGCAGACGCCGTTGACCTCATTCACGATCCTGCGGCTCACTTTCTTCAGGAAGTTCCCGTCAAATGGATACCAGTCCGCAGTCATAAAGTCGGTGGTCTCAACGGCACGAAGGGCAATTACTTGCTCGTGTGTACGTTTGTCCCCCATAACTCCGACGGCTTTCACTGGTAGAAGGGCAGCAAAGGCCTGGCTGATATTGCGGTAGAGACCAGCAGCCTTTATTTCGTCGATGAAAATCGAATCGGCGTGGCGGGCAATACGGATCTGGTCGGGAGTAACCTCTCCAAGAATACGGATGGCAATTCCGGGTCCAGGGAAGGGGTGTCTCCATACTAAATCTTCGGGAATTCCAAGGTTTGTTCCTAGACTGCGAACCTCATCCTTGAACAGTTCACGGAGAGGCTCGATGAGCTTCAGGTGCATTCCCTTGAGTAATCCTCCGACATTGTGATGAGTTTTGATGGTGGCACTGGGGCCCTTGAAAGAGATACTCTCGATAACATCCGGGTAAAGGGTTCCCTGGAGGAGCCATTCGATCTTATCACCTTCCTTGTAGCCAGCTGATTCTTCAACAAGGGTCTTTGCAGTGTCCTGGAAGATTTCGATAAAGGTATTGCCAATGATCTTTCTCTTCTGCTCTGGGTCAACGACACCCTTTAGACGGCCGAGGAATTTCTCACTGGCATCAATGACGGTCAAGTTGATTCCGAGGTTCTTTGTCAGGGTTTCCCGGACTATTTCAGCCTCGTTGAGTCTCATGACACCATTGTCGACAAGGACGGCATGGAAACGGTCACCGATGGCCTCTTTCATCAGCTTTGCAGCAACGGTAGAGTCGACTCCACCGCTCACAGCACCGATGACCTGGCCATGTTCACCGACCATCGCACGGATTCTCGCAAGCTCCTTGTCGACGAATTTCTCCATCGTCCATTCCTGCTTAGCACCGCAGATTTTGACAGCAAAGTTATCCAGTACCTGCTTTCCGCAGGGAGTATGGGTAACCTCTGCGTGGAACTGAATGCCAAAGTACGGCTTCGTCTGATGCGCAATACCAGCATAGGGCGCGTTGGATGTCGTGGCAATGATTTCAAAGCCCTCGGGAAGCTGAGACAGCTTGTCTCCGTGTGACATCCAGACCTCGAGCTTGTCTTCCAGACCCTGGAACAAGCGGTCGATATTGGCCTGACCCTTTTCTCCATGCCTCTGGATGTTCAGGTAGGCGTGCCCGTACTCCTTGTTATCACTGGCGGCAACATTTTTACCATGATGCCACGCAAGTTCCTGTAGGCCATAGCAGATACCGAGGATTGGGACGCCCAGGTCAAAGACAGCCTGGTCGACGTGGGGAGCGTCCTGGTCATATACGGAGTACGGACTGCCCGAGAGAATCACTCCGGTGGGCTTCCAGGACAACTCGGCAATCTTCTGGGTGCATGGCAGAAGCTCCGAGTAGATATTGAGCTCACGGAGACGTCGTGTGATCAGATGAGAGTACTGTGATCTGCATAATCCCCGGTATCAGCCCTGTAGTTCCAATGCGACTTTGGAGGGGGGTATTCCCAGAGTGACTCACCCAAAATCAAGGACGAGAATGGTGTCAAACGCCTTATGAGGCTCATTGGCAGCTTCAACGGCAGACATTCTGGCTTTCTATTATCGAACCTCCCCCTAGGAATAATTTGTAAACAAAAGAGAAGACTTCAATTGACGCCGTGGGCGGGAGTTTGATATCCCCCGCGAGAGAGAAGAAAAAAAAAGGAAGAAAAAAAAAATAATTCGAAAAAGCGAAGAAAAAAAAAAAAGGATCAAGCGATAAGATAAGCAGTGGGGTGGTTTCCTATCGCGGTTTAGCGTCTCTGGATTCTTGGGATCTTTTTTTTATTTTGTATTTTTATTTTATTTTTATAATCTCTATTTTATTTATTATTTTTTTTTACAAACAAAACGAGAAGAAAAGGACGGGGTTGACTTGAAGAAGCTTGCAAGGAGCTAAGAATCTAAAGGAGAACTGGCTGGTTGTGTCTGTCGAACACTTATTGGTCGCAATGGGAAAGCGGAAGCAGGTGAAGGATGTTGAGATGAAGGACGGCGCGGCGGAGGACAGCAGCGACGAGGTAAGGAAATATACCCATTGACTGCTGTAGCTGGGCTAGATATACTAATCGCATAGGATAGGATCTTGATATCATCAATGTTGACTTTGAATGGTTCGATCCCCAGCCTGCGGTGGACTTCCACGGCCTGAAGGTGCTGTTGCGCCAGCTCTTCGACTCGGACTCACAGCTGTTTGACCTGTCTGCGCTGTCTGATCTGATTCTATCACAGCCATTGCTGGGTTCTACAGTGAAGGTAGACGGGAATGAGACGGATCCATACGCTTTTCTTACCGTTCTCAATCTACATCAACACAAGGTAGGTGACGTTTAAGGTGAATTTAGGCTTACTGGGGATTGGTTTCCTGACCGGGTTTCTATGTAGGATGTACCTGTAATCAAGACATTAACAGACTATATCCGAACCAAGTCGTCGAGCCCTGATTGCTCGACACTGAATCAGCTGCTCTCCCAGCCGGAAATCCCCCAGATCGGGCTGATATTGACTGAACGTCTGATAAACGTACCCGCCCAAGTGGTTCCTCCGATGTACACCATGTTGTTGGAGGAGATAGCATGGGCCCTTGAGGAGAAGGAGCCGTACAACTTCACGCATTATCTGATAATATCAAAAACGTACCAAGAAGTCGAGTCGAAACTGGACCAGGAAGACGACCGGCCACAGAAGAAGAAGAAAAAGGCCGGCAACGAAGGCTCCGAGACGTTCTACTTCCATCCCGAAGACGAGGTACTGCACAAGCACGCCCTATGCTATACGGGGTATAACTATACCCATGAGACGGAGGGACAGTCGGACTCGAAGAGAGCGTTCCAGGAGCTAGGAATCCATCCGCAGGGCCATATGATCTTGATAGAAGCGTCCAAGTTTGAGGCTGCCGTGGCCAACCTGAAGGAATTCCTGAACCCATCTTCGTGAATGGTAATACAATAAAAGAAAAAAAAAGTCGAAGAATTAAAAGAAGTCTATTCAATTTTTTGTTCGTGATTAGAGGTGGTCGTAGCCCTAAATAAACAGTCGGCCGGTAGTACTCCCATAGTATTGCCTGCCGTTTCATCTAACTGGAAAACCCGTGGTTATATTTCAAATGTCTTGTTACCCTGTGAGGAAAAGAAAAGGGGTCGGCTTATTTGTCTTCCCACTCGGTTCCTTTCAGTCGCTGCATTAGATATTCCACCTCGACGAACTTTGTCACTGGAATGACGCTATACTGTAGAACTTGTTAGCCAGGCATGTATGTATATGCGAATGAGAGACACTGGAGCATTACCCACCTTGTACATGGAGACGACGGCCTCGAAGTCGATCTTGGACTTGCCCTCGCTCGGATTTGCCGGGTCCCTGCCGTAGGTCTTTGCCTTTAGCCGTAGCCGGTCGAGCACCATCTTCTCGACCTTGGAGTTGGTGATGGCCTCTTCAATGCCATCCCGGTCCCCAGCCTTGATCAGCTTGACAAACTTGTCCGTCTCGGCCAGGAACTTCGACTCTGCGACGAATTTGCCAAAATGGATCCTCCGCGAGAGTGCCTGCAGACAGCTGACGTCGCTCGTGGCCGAGGAGCCGTAGTTCTCCTGCGCTTCACCCCTGTCTCTGGACTTGCACAGCGACGGCAGGATCTCGTTGATGTAGCGTGACTTGATCACATCGTTGACATTGACGTCGTTCTCGTGCAGGATCTTGGGGTATTGGAGAGGCTGTAGGATGGGCGTTTCAACGACGTCGGGGAAGAAAGGGTATTCATCGGGTGACTGGTAGCGACGGACACGGGACTGGAGACGTTCCTGCTCGCTGAGGACATAGTCCATGAGACTGAGCTCACTGCCGGGGATCTTGACGGCGCCGGGGATGTATATCCGTCTGTTGAGCGGGAACTGGACTCTCTCGATAAGGTGGAAGGTGATAGTATCCTCCAGGCGACTATATGAGTCAGGTCAACCGCTATAAAAGCTGCACAGGGAGGCCAGAAAAAAAAGAAGAAGAGAGAGAGATGACCTACATGAGCTGGAAGCGGATGTTCTCCAGGTCCAGCGCCTTGGAGGCGTCCGAGAGATCGATGGAAGCGTCCATGCTACAGGCGCAGGTGCTGTTGTCGTTGTCGTCGGGCGTCTCAGGCGCAAGTCGAGCTTAAAAAGCTTTATAGATCCCAGAGCTCTCGCGATCTCGGTTCCGGGCCGAAGAACCTACGGCTGGGATATGGAGGCAAAGCGACAGGGGTAGTAGGACCAGGGAGGCCAGACAGAGAGAAGCTCGCATCGGACTACAGGAAGACGAAGTAGAGGACGAAGTAGAAGACGAAGAAACAGAGCAGTCGACGGCGATTAACTAGCTATCTGATTATTATAACTATTGTTGGTGAGTCAGGCTGTGAAGCGCCCCAAGAGTGGCCAGAGGGCTCGATTCTTCTTATTTCCTTTTTGTTGGTGGCTTGACTGGCAAGCCACTGCAGGGCTCTTCCTGGCCGGCTTGAATCGACGGATGCTGCAGCTTTACTTACAGGCTAGCAGTTTGATAGGGACTTTGCTATGGCGGTGCTAACTAGTTATCTACAGGGGTCGTATAGAATGTCTTGCAGCTGTGACTGGAAGTATATAGACTGCGTGCCTGGGGAGTAGCAGCGGATAGTTATACGACCGTATAGCGGGCTTCTTCTCTTATCTCCTTTGCCTACCACTTCCCTGCCATCCTCCTATATCTCTAGCTGTCTTCTCCGTCTCTTCTATGCCTCTTTTTATATTTCTTTTATCTTCATCTTCATCTTCATCTTCATCTTCATCGCCGTCTTCTTGTCGTCTTCTTCTTGTCCCAAACCTCGGCATGGACTGACTGCAGCTAGTTTACTTTGGGTTAGCGCCATACACTCCCTTACACAGAATCTTACCAGAGGTAATAATACGGAGTACTTCTCTCTCTATACTTCTTGCTCTATACTTCTTATTCTTACGGAGTATAGAGTAAAGAAAAGAGAAAGAGAAGAGGATGAAGAGAGAGTAAGTATAGGGAGTATAGGGAGTATATAGAGTAAAGCCGCCTCGGCATCGCAAGAGCGTAAAATACCGTAATATATAACCATAAATACAGTCTTGGCGCCCTTTTCCAAGCTGCAAACCTGGAAAACAAAAAACGCCATAAAAAACATCCCAACGTCAAGCGTTTTTCTCCTCTACCAAACACGCAAAAAGTCGACAACGCCAGCGAGCCCGCAAGCCAGCCGCAGGAAGAGCTTGCAAGTCAATGGCCGGTTGAACAGAGGCAGCGTGAGGCTACATGGCTGCTTAGCTGCGTACAGACAGACACACACAGAGAGAGAGACAGACAGACAGAGTGCTGGGGATCGGGCTTGCATAGCTACCTTCCAGTTTCGACCGCCTCTTTCACCACCCTCCTCCTACTTGCTCTATCATGGCCGGCAATGCAGCGCGGAGCCGCTCTGGCTCTGGCGCCTCTCACTACGGAACGGGCGACGACGAAGGCTCTGTGCTGGGAACAGGGCTTACTGTGAGTATTTTCTTCGCCAGGACGAGGTGTTTGTTTAGATAGGTGGCTAACAAAGGGTACTTGGGAATAAACTAGTCCCGCCAGCTGGAGGCGTTTGGCCGCAAAGTCACGACTACGGCGTCTCATCTTATGAGCACCACGACTGATCCTACCGCCAATGCCCACTACCAGGCAGCCTTGTCGGGCATCCAGCGAGAGCTGCGAAGACCCGGGGCCCAGAGGAGGATGTTTGCATTCGCGCAGACGACGCCTACCGAGCTTGTACGCTCCAAGTTTTCCACGTCGGAGATCCAGTACCGCGCTCTCTCTTCCCTGCCAGATGACCTCCTACAACACCTCCCCGAGGATACAAGTACATACTCGCTTTTCCAAGGGTTTCAGGCCTCAATCCACGATGCAGATAACGAGCACAGGAAGTCTCATCGGAGGCGAAGTTCACATGGCCAGAAACGGCTGGAGGATGTAGACAGGAATACAGGTGCTCTGCCACCTACAATAGGCCATTTAAAGCGGGAACGAGACTCGTTGAACCATCGACTGGAAATGATGGGTGTGCGGAAGAACATGTGCAGTGCAGAGATACACGAGATTGACAACAAGATTATGAACCTGAACAAGATGCGCAAGATTGTGCTGGACCGTCTGGCTGGCCTGGAGATGGACGAAGCTGACTTGGAACATGAATGTAAGTCTAGAATAAAAGAAAGAAAGAAAGAAAGAAGAAAGGCGGTAAAGCTAACGAGGAGCGTCGGTCGACAGTGGTACAACTAGATAACAGGCTGGAGGACATGGAGGACGCTCTGGACGAGTCTGTGGCAGCGGCCACGGCAGCTACACCCAAGACGGGCGATATTCCCAGTTCTCCGATCGGGGATGGCGAAGGTGATTCGTCGTTCATGTCCGAGTCTATCTACGAGAAAATTCCTTCACCGAAGGCCTGGAGACACAAAACATCGAGTGCGTATCCCCATTCGTTTGTTTAACTAGATATTTTTTTTGCTCGGAAGCTTACAATGTGGACATAGAAAAACGGTCAACACCGGTTCTCCACGAGCATTTTGAGCCTGGGTCTCTGATAAGAGAACTGCAGGCCCATAATGATATGATCGCCGCTCTGGACTTCGACGTCCCCTTCGGCACGATGGTCAGCGCCGCCCTGGACGACACAGTGCGAGTGTGGGACCTGAACCTGGGGCGGTGCATGGGCTTCCTGGAGGGCCACCACGCCTCGGTGCGGTGCCTGCAGGTGGAAGATAGCATTGTGGCCACCGGCTCGATGGACGCTTCCATCCGATTGTGGGACCTGAGTCGCGCCAAGTACGAACCACGCGACCACCGGGCCGACAGGGACGAGGACGACGAGGACGCACTAGGCTTCGAGGACCCAGCTGCAGCACCGCCCACGCCTCCGCCGTCGAGCATGGATGAGTGTCCCCTGTTCAGTCTGGAAGCTCACGTCGACGAGGTGACGGCCCTGCACCTGCGCGGAGACACGCTGATATCCGGCTCTGCGGACAAGACGCTGCGGCAGTGGGATCTGGTCAAGGGCCGATGCGTGCAGACGCTGGATGTGCTCTGGGCCGCGGCTCAGGCGTCGTCGACGATGGCGGCGGGCGATTCAGCAGCATGGCGGCCGACGGGTCGTCTGCCGGACGCCTCGGCAGACTTTGTCGGTGCCTTGCAGTGTTTTGATGCGGCGCTGGCGTGTGGAACGGCTGACGGAATGGTGCGTCTGTGGGACCTGCGTAGTGGACAGGTGCACCGGAGTCTAGTCGGCCATACTGGGCCAGTGACATGTTTGCAGTTTGATGACGTCCATCTAGTCACTGGCAGTATGGACCGGAGCATACGTGTGAGTTTATTCTTTTCTTTCTCCCCTTTTTTCTTTCTCTTTCTTTCTTACTTTATTATAGTAGTGTGTGAGACTAATCTGGATAGATATGGGATCTTCGCACGGGAACCATCCATGATGCGTATGCGTACGACCGGCCAGTCACAAGCATGATGTTTGACACCCGACGCATTGTGGCTGCGGCGGGCGAGGACGTGGTGAAGGTGTACGACAAGACGGACGGGCGACACTGGGACTGTGGCTCAGGGGTAGCATCCGAGGACGACGGCCGAGCACACAGCATTGTCGAGCGCGTGCGCATCAAGGACGGCTATCTGACCGAGGGACGCAAGGACGGCACCATCGGGATCTGGAAGTGCTAGTCAAGCACTCGACCTCGCCGTCGCTGTTGTCTCTTGTCTTCTTGATTGATATATAACCACTATCTTGTCCCCCCTTTTTTATTTAAACTTTTATGTATAAATAAACGGTCCCTGTTAAAGCGGCAACAAGCAATGTATATAAGTAATGCCCAAAATAGAAGTCAACTCGTGCTGCTTTACGGCTGTCTTCTTGTCACGAAAACATCGCGCTAGTCCTGATTAGGTAATTACAACAACACAAAAAACCGCCGTCGCTTTTTGGCTGCGAAGAAAGAAGAAGAAGAAGAAGAAAAAGGCAGTGAAGGCGAGAGTGAAGAGTAAAAACCTGCATCGTTGAAAGGCCGAGTCCAGAAAGAAGCAGCTTGTTCTTTTACGTTGTTGGCATTTTTGCATTGTGCGGGCCTGGCGTCTTTATTGTTCTATAATATTTCTCTTCTTTCATGGGAGCGCGTCAAATCTTGTTTTAACTAGTTTTTTGGTGACTTGATATTGAACTTGACTTGAACTGATTGAACTGATATTGAACTGATATTGATACCCCCGGCTGTCTTTGCTGCTTCTACTGCCTGTTGATGATATCCATGTCCAGTGTTGCTGTCTCGTCAACTTGGCAAGATCTACTATTTATACCTCTATTGATCGAGGACGATACTTGATAGAGCGAGTCGAGTCGAGTCAGACTGAATATACCCGCGCACCCAGAGGACAGGACAGACAATTTACTCGTCGTCTTCATCTTCTACATAATAAAAGTGACAGAGATAGTGTGTCCTGGTGTTGTGTGTTGCTGCAGAGTTCACGTTACCGGACAATAGTAAGGGGGGCTGGGAGGACAGGGACAGGCAGCGGCTGGCCTGATGAATGGCTTAGATCGCGGGCCAGAGTCGACGTTGAATACCCGCGGTCAATAGCAGAGACGTTTGTCCTCTGGTGGGCGTGTGTTCCTGTCGGTGGCTGGGAGGATATATATAAGGGCCACCTGCTCCCTTAAGATTGAACGGCTTGAAGTAGGTCTCCGTCCCGTCCACCACTTCTACTATCACTGCTATCACTGCTATCACTGCTACCACTTCTACTATTGCATCTCTACTATCACTGCTACCACTTCTATCACTTCTACTACTTTTACCACCAGTCTGACGAGTACAGAATGGCACCACCAAGACGCACGCGGCGTCTGACGCCCTCTGCTGCTGGCGGCGCCTCCAACGAGGCAGATAACCCATATCTGCCGAGCATCGAGACGCAGCAGACCTTCTCGTACGGAGGGTCTGCGACGCCCGCCCTGCCTCGCCCGCTCGGCTCTCTCCCTGCCGCCAACACGGCAGCCGACGTGGCGGCCAGCATCGAGGCCGCCATCACCCGCCCAGCCCGTCCAGCCCGTCCAGCCGCCCGCCCACTGACCGAATCGGCGGGCTTCCACCAGATCGAGGACGAGGCACGCAAGAGCCCCGAGAAGCAGCGGGTGACGCGGGGCCAGCAGCGGCGGGCCGAGAGCATGACGCCGCCAAGGGAGCCCGTCCGGCGTATGACGCCGGACATCCAGCTGATGGGCTCGCTGAGAGAGGCCTCGGGGGAGCCAGAGGACCACGACCAGCAGCAGCAACAACAACAGCAACAGCAAGAGCAACAATCCGACGACCCAGTGGACCTTTTGGCCGATGCAATTGACGGGTCGAGCATCAGCTGGAACACGGAGCGCCATCTGCTAGCGAACGAGCGACCTGCGTTTGGCCTGACTGGCTGGCCTCGGCCTACTTCTATGAGACCTCAGATGTCTCCATCTCAAGCCAGCAGCACATCCATCCATCAGACTACACAGCAGCAGTATCAGCAGCAGCAACATCCACGGCAGCAGCAATCTCTACAGAAACACCACTACCAGCAGCTGCGTGGACAGCCTCAGAGAAGCCGCGCTACCGCCGAGAGAATCGAGCGAGGCATTGCCATCGGCCCTCCAGTCGGTCTTACCACCATTACCACCACTACTAATAATAATAACAATGCTGCGACTACGGCCTCTCCCTCTGTGCGTCCCGAGACGCCATCCGACCAGCCTGCAGCCATCCACACTCCGCAGTCAGAGCACACTCCGGCCTCATCCCGTCCTCCATCCGCTCTTGACAATGCTGCTGCTCCTACTTCTCCCACATCTCCATCTCCATCTACATCTCCCTCTGGAGTGACCAACTTCGGGTTCATGCATGTCGTCTGCATCTTACTGAGCATTATGATGGCACTGAATGGCTACCTTCTGCGCGACGAGATCGCCTCTGCCGCCCGATCCATCATCTACTCTCCATCTGGACACTATGGAATGGCCAACTGCACCGAGAGCATCAGCCAGATGATGGCCGCCGTCGACCAACGTCTGACCTCCATGACCAAGGACATCTCTTTTCTCAAGCAGGAAGTTAACAAAGCAACGACTTCTCCTCCTCCTCCTAAACCTCCTGTCAACCCCCTGGAGCCACGTCGACCCAACTTCTTCTCTCTGGGCTTTGGTGCCACTGTCGACCCTTACCTGAGCTCGCCTACTTTATCGTCTACCACGAGCTACCTCGACCGCCTCCGCCGTCTTGCAGGTGGTATCCGTCCCGGTCCTTCTCATGTCTCTGCCCTGCAACCCTGGGACGACATTGGCGACTGCTGGTGTGCATCTACCACTTCTATTACTTCTACTACTACTTCTTCCACTACTACTTCCAAGAAAGAGAACAGGATCCAACTCGCCGTCGAGCTTGGCCGCCCCATCGTCCCCGAAGAAGTGATTGTCGAGCACATGCCGCGCGAGGCCACCCTGGACAACGGGGCCGCCGCTCCTCAGCTGATGGAGCTCTGGGGAGAATTCAGTGATAGTTCGAGTGTTAATAGTGATGAAGTGAGATCGGCTCTGGCGGCAGTGTGGCCTGGAGAAGCCGAGTCCGCCTACGCCCACGAACCGTCGCTGGGCCCATCGTTCGTCCGTCTTGGCCGCTGGCAGTACGACATCCATGCCGCCCATCACATCCAGCGTTTTACCATTGCTGCATCGGCGGTCCACGATCTGCCTGCGACCAGCAAGGTGGTCGTCGTCGCGAGGTCCAACTGGGGCCGGCGAGAGTACACCTGTCTCTACCGCCTGCGACTCCACGGCCGCCTCTAGTCTACTATCATGTACTACTGTCTACTGCACTATCCATGTATCCATGTACTTTTACTTCTTCTGTTCTCATGTACTACTGTCTGCTGTCTTCTGTTCTACTGTTAATGGCGCTAACTAGCCTGCCGTCACTAGCATGTCCATCCATCTTAAGAAAATGACAACCCAAGACGGCCGTTCGTCTCAGATATACTACCAAGTCCTGCCTGATCTTCTTCGTCTTCATCATCTTCTACTCTCCCGGTTTCACCAGCAGCTCATCTCGTCTATCCTAAACACCATCTCATCTCATCTCATCTCATCTCATCTACTGCCATCTACTGTCAAGGTCACCCCGAGTAACTCGCATGTACATAAAGTACAGCAAGTAAAGTAACCAGCGACTAGCAAGGAACTAACTAAAGCATGTAAGTAACTCGAGCTAAGAGCGACACGAGGCTTGCCCTGGTCTCCATCCAACGTCCCGCGACAGGGATGAGAAGCAACTAGCGGTCTCTTCTTCGTCTTCGTCTTGTCTCTTCGTCTCTTCTTTTTGTTGTCTTGTTGTTGTCTTCTGTCTCTCAGGAGTAATATCTCCTTGTCCTGCCATCGTCATCTCAGTCAAGAATAAGATTAAGAATAACAACAGTAACAGTAACAGTAGAAGAAGTAATAACAGTCAGTAATAGAATAACAGTAAGAAGAATAGAGTCCTCTCGTATCTCGTCTGCTGCTCTTTATGCTGCTTGACTGGGTTTCAGCCACGGACGAGCGGAGGCGGGCCGGTGGAAGGGCAAGAAAAGAAGAAGAGAAGAAGAGAAGAAGAAGAAGATAATTAAAGTAGAAGACGAGAAGTAGAAGAGTAGAAGTAACTGACTGACTGACTGAAGACTGACTGACAGCGAGAGAGAGAGAAAGTCGAGTCCATCTTCAAGTCTTCAAGTCTTTCTTCAAGTCTTTCTTCTTCTCTTGCCTCCCCCTGAGCTGCGTCTTCTTCTTCTCTTCTTCTCTTCTTCTTCTCTTCTCTTCTGCAGCCACGAAGAAGCAAAAAGGGGTCACTCTCAGTCTCTTCTCTTAGTCTTCTTCTTCTCTTTACTCTTTACTGTCTTCTTCTTCTCTTCTTCTCTTCTCTAGTTAATCCTCGAGTTCTCCTCTTGGCGTCTCCTTTTTCTCGGTTTCAAGCGAGACTCGCGCTTTTTGCTTCTGGCTCGGATTCGGATTCTGATATCACATCTTCGCTTCTTCTTCTTCTTCTCTGCATCTTCGCCTCTTCTCTTCTTCCTGTCCTCCTCTTCTCTTCTCTTCTCTCTTCTTTCTTCTCTTCTATGCGCTGTCTCGCCTCGACGTCGTCGCTCCATCGGTGACGGGCCTGCATCATCACATCCTCGACCTCCAGCATCATCACCATCACGACCAGCAGCAACATCCACAGACACCCACAGACAGCAACATCTCCATCTCGATCGAGGGCATGGCCCAGTCCCCCCCGGCCTCGCCCTCCCGCGCTGCCTTCAACCGTCCCGTCAGTCTCATCATGCGCCCGTCGCGGAGCAGCAGTCGCATGAGCGTCGGCAGCGTCGCCAACTCCAACAGGCACTGCGGCAGCGGCAGCTCAGACGACGATGCCAGGACCGCCGTCAAAGTTGGTACGTTACCATCACATCACACTGATTATACTCATTACACTGCATGAATATGTTACTGATAAAGTCCTTAGTCGTCCGCGTTAGACCCCCCCTGCAGCAATCAGACCCGGGCTTCGACCTGATCCCGCAGCGCTTCCAGCGGCCGACCGTCCATGTCACCTCGCCGACCTCGCTCGCCATCGACGCCCCCCAGGGCCGCAAGCTCTTCGTCTTTGACCGCGTCTTCGGCGAGAGCGTCGACCAGGAGGGCATCTGGGACTACCTGCACGACAGCGTCAACTCCTTCATGCAGGGCTACAACGTCTCCATCCTCGCTTACGGCCAGTCGGGCGCGGGCAAGTCCTACACCATGGGCACCTCGGGGCCCTCAGAACAACACGACCCCAAAGCAATGGGTACCTCACTCTCTTATTCTACTCAATTGATATATATTCACTAATATAATAAATAGGAATCGTGCCGAGGGCGGCGCAGATGCTGTTTGAGAAGCTGACGGGCTCGCCCACGCACAACAGGAGCTTCTCCGGCTCCCCAGTGACCGGCCTGCGGACGCCCCAGAGATACTCCTCTGCCTCCTCCTTTGGCCGTGTCTCGGACAAGCCCTGGCAGATGCGAGCAACCTACGTCGAGGTATTCCTCTTCCTCCCTCTATTTTCGCTGATACTAACGATATAGATATATAATGAACAATTGAGAGACCTGCTGCTGCCAGAGTCGACACCCCCCGGAGAACGCAACACTGTCACCATCCGCGAAGACACCAAGGGCCGCATCATCCTCACCGGCCTCCACCAGGTCGCCATCAACTCCGTCGACGACCTCATCAACGCCCTCAACTTCGGCTCGGCCATCCGCCAGACTGATTCCACCGCCATCAACGCCAAATCCTCTCGCTCCCACGCCGTCTTCAGCATCAACCTCGTCCAGCGCAAAGACGGTTCAGCCGGCCTGCCGCTCTCTGCCCAGGAGAAACGCTTCTCCATGCCGGATCCTGCTTCTTCTTCCTCCTCATCTACATCTGGAGACCACGTTACCATCGACAGTAAACTGCACTTTGTCGACTTGGCCGGAAGTGAACGCCTCAAGAACACGGGGGCCTCGGGAGAGCGTGCCAAAGAAGGCATCTCCATCAACGCGGGTCTCGCCAGCCTGGGCAAAGTCATCTCCCAGCTCTCCTCCCGCCAGCAGGGGGCTCACGTCTCCTACCGCGACTCCAAGCTCACCCGCTTGCTCCAGGACTCCCTCGGTGGTAACGCAATCACCTACATGATCGCCTGCGTCACTCCGCCCGAGTTCCATCTCTCAGAGACCCTCAACACCGTCCAGTACGCCCAGCGGGCCCGCGCCATCCAGTCCAAGCCTCGCATCCAGCAGATTACAGACGAGAGCGACAAGCAGGCCGTCATCGAACGCCTCAAGGCTGAGGTCGCCTTTCTCCGCCAGCAGATTCGTAACGCGGACGGGGGCGAGAGGGATCGTCGTGCCCTTCTCACGCCCCAGGAGCGGTCCGACCGCCAGAACGAGCGCGAGCGGGAACTCCAGAACCACCTGCTCGACGTCCAGGAGAGCTATACCGCCCTCAGCCAGCGCCATGCTAAGCTCATCTCAGAGCTCACCAAGTCCGATCCCTCAGCAGACAGCAGCAATGGCGTCGACGACGGAGGGGACGCCTCCATGGAGCGCCTCAAGCGGTCCCACTCCTTCGCCGAGTCCGTAGAGCAGGTCGTCATGGAGTACGAAAAGACCATCCAGTCCCTCGAGTCCTCCCTCTCCCAGACCAGAGCTTCCCTCTCGGCCACCGAGAGCACCTTGCTCGAACGAGAGACAAAATGCGCCTACATCGAGACCGTCAACGGCCAGCTCCAGGCCCGCATGCAGAAGATGCTCGACCGCGAGGCCAACACAGAGAGCTACCTGCACGACCTCGAGTCAAAACTCGACAGCCATGCTACGGGTGAAGAGAAGAACGCTGCCATCGTCGCAGAGCTCAGAAAGGAGCTCAACCGCGCCAGAGAGAACGAAGCCAGCTGCGAGGACTATATCTCTACACTCGAGGAACGTCTCGCCGAGGCTGACCAGGACATGGAGCTCATGCAGTCCGAGATGGACCGCCTCGAGCATGTCATCGACCGCCAGCGAAGCCTCGGAAAGCTCGACAACCTCCTCTACGAACTCGACCATGTCCAGAACGGTCACTCCAGGTCAGAGTATTCTGCAGAGTATCCTACAGAGTATTCTGCTGTTGGCATCCACGACTCCAGGAAGCTGTCTTCAGCTGGCTCTGCTTCTACCATCAGACCCAAAAAGACTACTCGCACCAGGACGCCCTCGCTCGACGTCCTCACCGAAGCTGTCGAGACCGCCATCCCAGAGTCCGACGACGACCTCCTCCTGGCCGACGGCTCCACCCCGTCTTCTATCCAGGAAGAAACCGCCCTCGACCTCGCCAGAGACGACGCCGGCCTCGCTGCCCTCGAGAGAGCTACCCCTACCAACTCTACCTTTGCCAGAGACGCCCACGATGACGATGATGAAGATGCCAAAAACGACGAACCAGAGCCATACACGCCCAGTGCTGCTCAGTCTCAGTTCGTCGCTGAAAAACTCGACAGCGTCACCCAGGAGCTGTTCGACCTGCGCATCCAGCACGACCACTCCATGAACGAGTACGCCCTGCTCAACGCAAAATACCAGGAGTCCCTGCGCGCCATGGCAGAGCTCCAGGACGCCATGGACGAGATCCGCCACAGCCAGCGGTCCCAGCACCCCGTCCAGCCTGCCGTCGCTTTTTTAGACACCAAGCTCGCTCAGAACGGCCGTCCAAGGGTCAATGGCAATGGAGTCTCGGTCTCCTCCTATTCCAATGGTGGACAAACATCACGCTCGCTCTCCTCGGAGTTGTCCTCGGCAGAGCAGGCCAACAGCTCATCCTTCACTTCTTCCACCACTACTAACAATACAGAGGTTGAAGAAGCAGACCAAGGCGAAGAAGAAGATGATTCCGAAGAAAGTGATGTGGTCAAGAAACTCAAGGCTGAGCATCAACAGGCCCTCGATGCTGTCACCAGCAAATTCAACGAACTCCAGATGGAGCACGAAGACAGCCTCACCCTCCTCGAGAGCCTCAAGGACGAAGTCACCCGCTACAAGAACGCCGCCTCCTCGCCTCCACACACCCCAAATGTCATCCGCCGCATCACCAGCCAGAGCATGATGACCGTCGACCGCGCCCACAGGAACCTCTCGGCTCTCCGCATCCAGGCCGCCGAGGAATTCGAGGGCCGCCCCGAAACCCTCCAGAGCTTCGACCAGAAGATCGACTCCGCCCTGCGCGAACTCAACTCTCGCATGGAACGCATCCAGGCCCTCGAGGCCGAGAACAAGAACGTCAAGAAGGAAATGGAGACCAAGGCCACCATCATCTCTGGCCTTACCCGCGAACGATCCAGCTTGCAGTCCGTCTCGCCCGTCGACATGACCGTTGTCTCTCAGCTACGTGACCAGATCGTCAATGCCGAGGGACAGATGAACGAGATGAGAGAGGCCCACGAAGCTAAAGAGCGTGAACTCGCAGAGGAACTAAAGTCCGTCAACGCCCTCGTTGAATCGCAAAAGGCCGAGCTAGACTCTCTACGCAAGGAAGTCGAGGAGTGGCAAGGAAAACACCGCCAGACTGCCGAGGAACTGGCTCTAGTCCAGAGCCGCCTCGAAGCATCAGAAAAGCAAGTCAAGGCCACCGTTGCCGAGCTCGAGGCCTCCCTGGCCAACGTCGATGCCATGCGTGGTACCAACAGCAGCAGTAAAGGTGGCGTGTCTGCTGATGAAGCCGCTGCCACCGCTGATGCCCTGGAGAAAGAGAGATCTCAACACCAGGAGCTAGTCAACAGCCTCAAACAGGAGATCGACGGCCACAAGGCCACTATAGGAGCACATCTGGCCAAGATTGCTACTCTCGAGAGCGACCGCGACGGTTCTCGCGCTGCTCTGGACGACCTCGCTGGCTCAGAAGACCAATTGGCCTCGCACAAGGCCCGTGTAACCGAGTTGTCCAGGGACATCGAAGTACACAAATCCACCGTTGAAGCTCAGCAGGCCCAGCTCGAAACCCTCCAGCTCACGCACAAACGCGAACTCCTCGAACTCGAGTCCAAAACCAAAGCCGCCGCCGAAGCTCAGTTCGAGTCCCAGCTCGCCGAAAAGGCCGCCGCCCACGAAGCCGCTCTCGACGACCTCCGCGCCGAACTCACCAAGTCCAAGGACGAATCGGCCCAGATTCTCAAGACAATCTCCTCCTTGCTCAAGACTCAAAGCCCCGTCACCCCCTTTACCCTGCAGGACCAACTTCAGGACGTCCTCTCGCAAAAGGACCAGTTCGCCGAGAAGTACTCTGCTCTCATGGACACTAATGAGTCCCTGACCCGCCAGCTAGACGAGAAGACCGAGACACACTCCGCGCTCGAGAAGCAGGTCGTCGACCTCAAGAACAAGGCCAACGAGCACGAGATGAAGGTCAACGATCTAGCCGTGCTGGTGGCTAACCACGAAGAAGCCATTGCTGCCAAGGAGGCGACTATAGAGGAGATCAAGGCCGAGAAGGAGAAGAGCATCCGTCTTGTCGAGGAGCTGGAGGAGCAAATCACCTCTTCGTTTGACCAGCATAACAACAGACTCTCGGTCATCCAGGCCGAGAAGAGCATGGCCCTGGAAGAGGCCAAGGCTAAGATTGCCGCGCATGACAAGGAGATTGAGACTTATCGTGCTCGTATCGAGCAGCTGGAGGTACTCCCCCCCCACCACCGTTTTGAAAGTGATATTTGAAAATGAACGTATTCTAACATCTACAGGCACAAACACGCCCCATCTCGCCGGAAGGAGGCCACATCGACCGCGGCTCCGGCTCCATCTCAACCAACCTCCGCAAGAGCTCGTCCGCAGCCTCGCTTCCCTCACCACCACCCGCCATCCCGCTCCCTCCACTCCCCAATATCGCCGCTGCCGCAAATCCAGCAAGCATCTCGCCGCCCTCATCCCGACACCAGAGCAAAGAACTCGCCAACAACCAATTCGTCGAGGACCAAGAAGCCCGCATCCGCACCATCGAGAAACACCTGCATGCCGAGAAGCAGCTCACAGCCACCCTCGAAGAAGCCCTCGGCGACCTCGAGGCGCAAAGCAACAAAGTCAAATCAGACATGGAACTATGGAAGAAGAAAGCATGGCAGCTCGAGGAAGAAGTCACCACCTTGCGATCGGAGCGTAACTCGGCCCGTCTCTCTCTGCAGGCTGTCGAGGAGGAACGAAGCGCTCGACGAGAAGCTGAGGCTGCCCGCGCCCATTTGGAAGAGAAGATGAATGCCATCAGCAAGAAGAAGAAGAAGAGCACCCTCAACTGCTTCTAGCCTTTCTTCTTCTACTTGTTCACTTGCTTTATGTCTGTATTTTATTGTCTTTCACGCCGTTTGATGAGTCTGCTATGCCTGAGCCTGAGTCGGAGTCGATGATGTGGTTGATGGAATACACGGATGTTCCATCGACCAGGCATCTACAACCGTCCCCTTTTTTTTCCTTGTCTTCCTTTTTTTTTTTTTTTCCTTTTATACTTCCCCCCTCCTCCCTCCTCCCTCTACGTTGATTGGATTGGATTGGATTGGATTTCTCTTATTTATCTCCTTTTTTTCTCTTTTTTTTCTCCCCTATAATTTGCTATTTTTTTGATATCCCTTGTTCTGCTCCTGCGATTGTTGTCAGCTGTGTATAAAATGCCCTTCCCCCCTCCCCTCCCATCCCCTGCCCTGCCCGCTCTACGATTAGATGCTAAAGAGGACACACTCCCCCTGCCCTGTTTCTTTTCCTACTTCGTTTCGATTTGACGGACTGGACTGATTTGGCACTTGACCGTTGACTTAAATGACGTTTTTTTTTTTATCTACTTTGATTCTCCCCTTATAAAGATACAGATCCAAGATTCCCTCCACGCTTATGCTTACGGCCGGAATTTCTCTAATAGTTTATTTCTTTTTTCTAACCCCGTTTTTTCCTCCCTTTTTTCTTTTCTCTTTCCCTCCCCTTTCCTCTTTTCTTTTAATCTTAGTAACTTATTTTCTTTTTTTCATCGAGCTGTTTACTGCTTATCCAAGTCATACACGGCACGGCACGGCATAACCAACCCCTACTTTATTTGTTGACGAAGAGAAGATTCAAGATTACAGAATGTCCTGGCCCCGGGGGGCTTTTTTTTTTCTTTACTTATTTTACTCTACTTACTTTTTTTTACTCTATTCTTATTGTTTATTACTATTATTATCTTATATCCTTCTCCTCCTTCTCCCTTCTAGTAATTAGTTGATGCCGTCTAGATGTATCTATCTATTTACTTCGATGCCATCGAATGTTGTAACTTTCCTCCTTAACGGCTTTTTGATATCACGTGATGCGGTATGACTTCATCCGCGAAAGTTAACAAGTAAACAAAGCCGACGACGACGACGACGACGACGACGACGAAGTTGAAGATGAACAATTGATCAAGTGCCTAATATGAAGAGAAGATACAGTGATAATGAAAGACCGAAAACGATATAACATCATCTTCGTCCATCCCGACCTCGGCATCGGCGGCGCAGAACGCCTGATCCTCGACGCCGCCCTCGCCCTCCAAGCCCGCGGCCACAAAATAACCATTTACACCTCCCACCGCGACAAGAGCCATTGCTTCGAGGAAGCCCGAGATGGAACGCTGGATGTGCGCGTACACGGCGACAAGCTGTTTCCCGCACACATCAGAGGCCGATTCCACGTTCTAATGGCAATACTGCGCCAGCTCAGCTTGATCTACTACCTCTCCGAAAGCACGGCCACCAACGACGACGAAATGCACGACATTTTCATAGTCGACCAGGTTCCGGCCTGTGTGCCTGTGCTGCGAGCGTTAAGGGACCTAGCTATGCGCCGCAAAACGAAGAAACAGCGCACGCTGTTCTATTGCCATTTCCCGGACCAGTTGCTTGCGCGGCGAGGGGAGGGTGGTATGGCGCTGCGGACGCTGAAGATGCTTTATCGCTACCCGTTCGATTGGTTTGAGGGCTGGGCGATGAGTGCCGCTGATAGGATTGTGGTTAATTCTCGGTTCACGGGCGGAGTGGTGCGGGAGGTGTTTGGGAATACCGGCGAGGATGTACAGGTTGTTTACCCGTGTGTGGACACGGGCAGAAGCACAAAGGAGGTATCAGTGACCAAGGTTGATGATGGAGGGGAGCTGTGGGGTGGGCTGAAGATACTGCTGAGTATTAATCGGTTTGAAAGGAAGAAGAATATCGAGCTTGCATTGCATGCGTATCATGGCATTGCGGAGGAGGATAGAAAGGGCACACGATTGGTTATCGCTGGTGTGTTACCTCTTTCTTAATTAACTTGGCGTTGCATTGCTAACGACTTATAGGCGGCTATGATAATCGAGTCTCGGAAAACGTACAGTATCATAAAGAGCTGGATGCACTAGCTACTCGACTCGGCTTCCAAACAGCTACCTCCCAAACCGTCGTATCAGCCATGTCCGTCCCAGCCTCTATAAACGTCCTGTTCCTCCTTTCTGTCCCATCTGCATTTAAAGAAACCCTGCTCTCCTCCTCGAGTCTACTGCTCTACACCCCTTCATACGAACACTTTGGCATCGTCCCCGTCGAGGCAATGTATGCCGGTCTGCCTGTTCTCGCAGACAACACCGGCGGACCCCTAGAAACCATTGTGGAAGGGAAAACCGGCTGGCTCAGATCATCGAAGGAGATCTCGGGCTGGACAGAAGTGATCAATTATGTTCTGCAGCGCATGTCGTCTGCTGAGCGTCAGGATATGGCTGCCTTTGCAAAACAGCGGGTTGAGAGAGAATTCTCCCTTCATGCAATGGGCGAACGGCTCCAGGATCAAATTGACGAGATGGTCCAGGCAGAAGACCGCGCTTTTCTTCCTCTTACGGTAATCCTTGGACTTGGCCTGGTGCTTGGCTTGATATCTTCTCTTCTCATCTGGCTGGCCATGAGTTGAGACCTTTGATCTAAGATGCATTGAATTGTAAAATTAATAGATGAACGAGCGAGCTTGATGAGTTACATGTATATGCTAGTTCCATACATCATCATCACCTGCTGCATGACTACGGAGTAAACAACCTCACAAAGGTACATTTATTCGTGATCATTCAAATCATGAACTGTGCAAAGATGTTCCTTCTTTAAGGCACATGATATGTAATAGTCTGGGGTCTGGATCAACTCCGAAGGCAACAAGCGGAGTTAACATGCGATCCACAAGTGCAAAGGGTGAGTCAGTTGATGTGTTCAATGGCCGGCTGTTCAATGGCCGCTCGTTGTGTGTGTAGACTGCTGAGTTGACCGTCGCTTGTAGATGTGAGAGACAAGCTGCTCCGGAGTCACATCCTGCCTCGGCAAAGGGGTAACCAAGCATCATAATTCCAATTGATAGTTTGATTTGTTCATTATGTAGCCTAGTGAGTACTCCGAAGAAATATTTTAGTTACTGGCATAAAATATGACATCTCTCAGCATATCTGGGGTATTCATCCGGGAAATACAACGGGAATAGATTCTCATGGCTCAGGAAGAATCAGAATCCCCCTAATATAATAAAATAATTTAGAAAATATAAAAATCCATGGGTGCCCGAGTGAAATGATCGACGTATCATCGGCATATAGTAATTTCCAAAATATTTTGATATATCTTGCAAATTTATACGTACCAGATGGTCCATGTTACGAGTGTGATTCTGGGAGAAACGGCAAGTAACAACTATTGAGAAGATGACGGATGGATGACAGCTCGACAAGGGAGCTCATAGCTGGACTCGAAGGAATTCAGTCACAGTAAATCAGCGTGTAATAGGTAGGAATGACTGCTCACTATGTGGCGATATGTGATTAACCACTAAGCAGATAACCAGGGGTGTAACTATCCAATTGCCAGTATCCAGGCCAGGATGTCTGCCTGAGATAGCGCCTCCGTGTATAGCCAGGATTTGGCCGGGATGAGGGATTCCCCGCGTCCAAGAGATATTTCGGTTAAATTCTTTCATGGATGCATTGCTTGTTAGCTGGTGGAGCAACTCGATCCCTTGCGATGATGCAGAGCTGTCCGGGGGATGTGCGGAAAATCTTAGATACGACCAACGCCCAACTGGCAGACGGCTTCGGCATAGGCATGGGGCCAAATGTAACCTCCTTGCCAGTCCATCTCCGGCACACGAACAGCATCCCGAGCCCAGAGCTCTGGCCCGGCGCGGCCTCTGTCGTTGATAGGGGGACACGGAGTCCGGAATACGGATTACGGGTTACGGAGATAATATGGCATCGCTCAAGAGCAAGAGCCAGCGATGCTGATATTTCCAGCCATCTCGTGGGATCAAAAAGTTAAGGAGTCATACGGAGTATATGGGGCTTTTATCACTGTTGGCCAGCCTGCTCCCTGTCGATATGGACCCTACATGGGCCCCTACCTGGCCGCTGGCGTGCTCGCACACATGATAACGCCTTGATGAGGAAGCTCGGGGTGCTGTCAATTTTTAGGAATTCCGCTGCTGGCGCTCTCGTGCTGGCATCGACGATGGATCAGTGGTCGTAGCGGAGTATGGAGCAGTGCTCAGAATATGGGCCTACTATGGAGTCACACTCCCGTGCCCTGGCAGTTTGACGGCACAGCAGCAGCAATATCAAAGGATTTTTAGCCTTTACCTATATCGTGTTCCCCAGTTAGCGACGAAGCTAGAAAACGGCACACCCTAGCTGGCGCTGTTCATACTTTCTTGTCGATCCCTCTAAGCAGCTTTTGACGGTCGGCATTCCTTGACTCGCCCGCTGCTTAGACCAATATGAGCTCGCTGTTGGTGTATTCTGGATGCCAGCGCTGGGTTGCCATTATTAATTAAATATACGAGGGAGGGGAAGGGCGTTGAGCTGCCAGGGATGCCCGATTGTTGATTCTGGACTGGGGTTAGATTCCTCCAATGTCTATAAATGTGCGGATGTCCCGGCTGTGATTCTATGGCTTGAGCTTCTCAGGCAACGAACAGCCAATTCCTCTCCATTTATACATTCACACAATGGCTGCCCTCTTTGTCTCGCTCCTGGCTCTCACCAGTCTTGTACCGGTACAAGGTGCCGCCACTGTGCCTCAGACAGATTATGCAAAGCGTGCTGAGCGAGTACTTAGAAGCGCTCCGCTGATAGATGGGCACAATGACCTCCCTTATGCTATCAGGAGGTCTACCAACGACCAGATCTATGACGGGAAGCTGCCCTTTGAAACCTCACTAAAGGGCCATACCGATCTACCCCGAATGCGAAAGGGTCGCATGGGTGGACAGTTCTGGAGTGTGTTCATTGCTTGTCCCTCGGACCCTAACGCTCCAATTAATACACCAAAGGTACGAAATGATGCATGTATCTCATTGAGATATTGTGTCCAGCGCTAATGTGGGTATCATTGATAGTTTGCGACCAGGGACACTCTAGAACAAATCGATGTTGCAAGACGACTTGTAGACAAGTACTCCAAGGATCTCATGTACTGCGACAACCCTGGCTGCGCAAAGAGAGCCTTCAGAGAAGGTAAAATCGGCAGCTTTATTGGTATTGAGGTATGGTACCCTTTTTTTTTTTTTTGTGTGTGGCCCCTTACCTACATGCATACTTAATCCGGATGTACATGTAGGGTGGCCACCAAGTTGGCAGCTCCATTGCGGCCTTGCGCCAGGCCTTCTACGCTGGAGCTCGCTACATGACTCTCACCCACAACTGCGACAATGCATGGGCAACAGCTGCTTCCACTGTCAGAGCCGGCAAGCCTGACCTGGGCATGACTGACTTTGGCCCCGCCTTGATCAAGGAGATGAACCGCCTGGGCATGCTCGTCGACCTCTCGCATGTTTCTCATCAAACCATGAGAGACGTTCTGAAGATCACCAAGGCACCCGTCATCTTCTCCCACTCTTCCGCTTATGAAGTCTCAAAGCACTTGCGCAACGTTCCAGACGACGTCCTCAAGACCGTTGCCAAAAACAACGGTGTTGTCATGGTCACTTTCGTGAGCAGCTTCGTCAAGGTCGATGACCCCGACTCTGCGGATGTCAACACCGTTGTCAAGCACATCTTCCACATTGCGGAAGTTGCCGGATGGGACCATGTTGGTCTCGGTGGCGACTATGACGGCACCACTGAGCTTCCAAAGGGACTCGAGGTAAGTTCCCAACACAACTGACATGCAGAATAAAAAGCAAAAGACCGCTGACGAGTTCGAGCTTAGGACGTTTCGAAGTACCCATATCTTATTGAGAAGGTCCTTGAAGCCGGAGCCACTGAGGAGCAGGCCCGCAAACTCGTTGGAGAAAACGTGCTTCGTGTCTGGACCGAAGTGGAGCAGATCGCAAAGAAGATCCAGAGATCCGGTGTTCTCCCTGTCGAGGAGGTCTGGAAGGGTAGGAATGGAACTGCTCTCTCTGAACGATCTACGTTCATTGAGGGACCCGCCCCGCTTGAGTATGGATGCGATTAAGGGGCTGTTGTATTTATCTTGCATGAGATATCACGCCATTCCCCTAGAACACGAGGTTATGAATAATATGTATCATTCTGCCCAGGTATACGTGGGTAGTTGTAGATTTTCGTCGTCGAGAACGATAAGTAAATAAATATAAACTTAGCTGTCAATTTAGACTTTTTGGAGCTGGAAAGCGCCATCTGCTTAGTAATAAGCATATTAACATCATGTGACCACGCGTTTAAAGCGCTCTTTTTTAGACGCGAATCTTTTGTGTTTATTCGAGTTTCCGCCCGCGTTTATTGATAACGACAACGACAACGATAGAGACAGCGGCAGGGGGCACAGCGGCAGTGAGGAAAGGAAGGGAGGCTTACCGATACTTGGGTATCTATCTCCCTTTTCCTTTTTGGCCCCGCCGGAAACATTTTTGGGTATTTCTCGGGGTTGTTGTTCTGGATTAGTTTGTTTTGGTCAGGGTCGGTGGTTGCTAGGCAGAGAAGTCAGGGGTCACAGAAGTCAACAACATCACAGAGATGGACCAAGTCATCAGCTTATTGTCTTCCTCCCCAGCAGTCGTATCAAGACCGACAAATGAGAGTCTGGAAGCTAGTTTTGGGGTTGTGGACAGTCCTCTGAATGCGGCACCTGCGAAGGTAGACGACTCGCTATTTGATTATGGCGATTTTCTCGACAGCTCGGCAACCAAGAGAAGGAGGCTGAGCCCCGCCGTGGATCAAAAAATTCATACCACTGATCATATCACGCCTCTTAAATCCCCCGGTTTTATGTTCTCGGACATCACGGATTTCAATAGTATAGGAAATACCCCTGATATACCCCAAGCCAAGTCAAAGGCAAAGGAAACGGTCAATAAAACATCGGCATCATGGGATCTTACCCTGGATGACCCTATCGTCTGCTCATCCTCTGCGCCTAACAACCAAATCCAAGAAGAAATTTCAAAAAAGCCAATAACTATAGTTATTGATGATGATGATGATGGCGACGAGGATGATGACTTTCTGGGCTGTAACCTAGCACCATCGGATGATATCGATGACCACAACGACGATGAAGATCTTTTCAATTTTGATGCCTCCCAATCATCAACGTTTGGTATTTCAAAGAAGACCACACTGCTGCTCGAACAACTTAGACGAGAGGCAGAGTCCAAGGGTAGATCAAAAAAGAAGAAGAAAGTGGAAGATGACTTTGATTCGTTATCAGAGGGTGATGCGCTGCCTTCCACGAAACAAAAATCCGTAAGACGGCAACCAAGCAGTCAAACAGCGGGTAAAAATGCAGACAGGACAGCGAAAGCACTAGAGCGAGAGGCAGCAAAACTTCGCCGACAACAAGAGAAGGAACTGCAAAAGGAAGAAAAGCGGAAGCAGAAGGAAGAGAAAGAAAAGCAAAAGCGGATTGCAGCTGATATCGCGGAGGCAAACAAGTCGAAAGTGGACAAGGCCGTGTCGGTTGGAGAGATGATTGTTGACATATCCTCTACCTTCCAGGACACCAGCATCGGAACTCAGACGGAGGAACATATGCGCAATCTGGGGGTGGAGATGAACTTTTCGTCCTCGCAGATACCCAACATCGTCTCATGGAGACGGAAAGTAACCGCGCAATATACTGATGCAGGACATTGGGAGCCATGTGCGCCAACAATAAAAGCCGAAGGTCATGTACTATGTTTCTTCACCGGGGATGAATTTGCCGAGATGGCTGTTGCACCTCCGGCCAGCAATAACACGGTTAAGGCGTATTTCCAGAAAATAAGCGGAGAATACCCGAGCCGCAAGCAGATATATCTCATCGAGGGCTTGGCTGCCACCATCAGGAAAGGCAAGAATTCGCGCAACCGGTCGTACCAGGCTGCTGTTCTGCAACAGATTGACGACAACCAGGCCAACTCAGGCGCTGCTGGGCAGCCACCACCACCACCACCACCTGAAGCAGCAACAGCAACAGCATCATCCCAATCCAAGCGGAAGAAAGCAAGGTCAAGCAAAAAGACGGCCAGCACAACCCATGTGATTGACGAAGACGCCATTGAAGACGCCTTGCTTCAGCTGCAGGTTGTCCACTCATGTTTGGTGCACGAGACTGCCAACTCGACTGAAAGCGCCTCATGGATCAAGAACTTCACCGAACATATCTCGACGGTTCCCTATAGGCGAGAACTGATGAAGAGCCAGGATGCGTCGTTCTGCATGGATGTAGGACAAGTTAGGACCGGGGATGATGCGGGGGATGCATATGTTCGAATGATGCAGGAGGTCAGCCGTATCACGGCGCCGATAGCGTATGGCGTTGCTACGCAGTTTCCTACTGTTGGCAGGTTGGTGGAGGCGTTTGATCAGGGAGGTGCACTGCTCCTTGAAGATGTTAAGGTATGTTATTATTGTGTGTGTGTGTTTGAACGCACCAGCCAGCCAGCCACCTTTTCAAGGACCATATTCTAATGAGCTGGAGTAGAAATGTGCGAATAAGACTGGTGCCATGACCGATGCCCGGATTGGACCGGCCATTAGTCGACGGCTCTATACCATCTTTACCAGTATGGACCCGGCGTCTTCAGACGTGTGACTGTTATCTTTTGCTTTTTACTTCACCTTTGTTTTTGGTTTTGGGAGGTATCTTCGGGCATTATCGCCTTTGGACTTAGTTGAGCATATTTAGATAGATCATGGTTGGAGGACGTTACTTGGTTATTTGCTTCTAGTTTATGATATTGAACAAGTTGGTATTCAATTGGTATATTGCACGATGAGGATGCAATGCAATGCAGCTGCCGAAACAGAAGTATATGCAGTAAAAAGCGAAAAATAAAATATAATATAAACCGAAACCCAAACGCCCATATGGTCAAATGGTAGATGTATATGTTAGATGTATATATCGGTTTAGATTAAACCGGAATGCTTCGTCTTTTCCACCCTCTCCAAGCAACCATCCACATGGTGGCAGCAATCAAAACACCAATGACGCTGCCCACGGCCCAAAACCCATAGCACTTCCAGCCAAAGCACTGTCCGTTGTCAGAGACATTAGCATCATACTCGGCAGAGTAGATGGCCCCTGACAGGCCGGCACCGGGGGCCTGGATCATGGAAACAATAGCCCAATTGGTGCCGAAGTTTTCCACCCCCCAGACAACAGAGATGATGATGGGAACAAGGGAGAAACAGGCGCCGTAGCCAAAGCCAATGAAGGTGGTTGTCAGATGTAGGAGAGAAGGGAAGGAGAGTGGAACGGGGGAGGAGAGGACCAAGTAGCCTAGGGAGACCAGGAGGGCGCAGGGGATGAGGAAGAAGAGACGGGAGAAGGTCCGTCGGTCTGAAGTTGATGCTTGTCTGGGAGCGAAGTAGTCTGAAAGAGAGCCTGTGATGAGACGGGCGAGGGTAGAGGTTAGTGCCATTAGAGCTACGTGGGTTGATGGCTCTCCTGCGGGCAAGGGAGTGCCTGGTTTGTCTTGGGCTGAAGGGGGTGACAGGGTGCTGGTAAGAGTGCCAACCTATTGCCTGTGTCAGCATACATAGAGAAAAAGAGAGAGAGAGGAAAGTTGGAGGTAGAAACGAAAAAAAAAAGAAAAAGAAAAGAAAAAAGAAAAAAGGCTGAGACTGACGTTGTTCATGTATGCCTCTCCGGGGCCGGAGATGAGGATGAAGCCGAGGGAGAGCAGCCACATGGTCCTGTCGTGGAGGAAGAGCTTGGTCTCCTGGTTAAGCAGCCATGTCTTCTTCACCTTGTCGTCCGGATGGGTATCAGCCTGGATGTTGTTACTGGTATCATCGTGGCCATGGCCAGCACGGAAAGTCCCATACTGCCCGTCCGTATCAACCAGCAGTCCACTCCGCTCGAGCTCCTCGACACCGACCTCGATAAGTTTCTCTTCGTCAACCACGTTCAGTGCGAATCCGCCTATGACTCCGACGGTAAAGGTGACGATGGCGAGGAAGACGAAGAAGCGGAAGACATCTACGTCTCCGTGGATAAGGTCTACTCCGGACCCGTCGCTGTGAGCGGTGGAGTCTGCGCCGCGGTAGACGAAGAACTTGACCAGGAAGCTGTACCAGATGCCGCTGAGCCCGTACGCAGCTATGGGGGCAGCCAGCATGATGCCCTTGTGCTTGCTGGAGGCGTAGTTCTTTGCACTTGTGGTGACGGCAGAGAAGTACATGCAAGCTGTGGCCGCGCCGATGATGGCATAGGCGATGACCATGACGCCGAACGGCCAGCCGTGTGGCCTGGGTGGGCCGTCATCCTCAGGCAGGCCGACCAGGAGGCTGGCTGGGGGTCCCGAGCGGTAGGTGAAGGCTGCGAGCAGGTATCCAGCGCCGAAGAGGACGGCGGAGATGAAGGAGACGAGCGAGGGCCGGACTCTGTCGCAGAGGAAGCCGAACAACGGGGCGCTCAGGTAGGTGAGCATCTCCGCCGTAACGGCGATGACGTTGACCCGGAACTGGGTGTAGTGCAGGCGGGTGAGCAGCAGCGGGCCATAGAGGGAGAATGCAGCTATTCCTCCAGCGGATAGTCTGTGGTACGTAGAGCAGGTAGATTATATATATATTAGCCGGGGGTCGGGTGTTGCTGTCCAAAGGAGGATTTGGATATCACCTACGCGTTGAGGACGCTGGAGACAAAGGCGACCAGACGGACAACCTCCTTGCGAGCGTTCTCTCTCTCCCTCTCTGTGTCCCTCGTCTGCGTCCTGACGAGCGGCATGTCTGGTCCGTCGGCCATGCTGCCGTCGTCACTCTCGCTGTCGCTGCCGCTGTCACTGGCGATGTCTACAGGGTCGGGCCGCCTGTCCGCCATCTTGCTGTCTATCGCCATGGTCTTTTGTCCGTCTGTCTGCTGCTACCTCTCTTCGCCAGTCCGTGCCGTCCGGTATAAATAGTCGCCCTTTCAAGTCATGGTGACCTGGTCATGCTGACGGGGAGGTGGGTGGTCGTGGGTGGTTGCTGGTCTGGATGTGAATGCAGATGACGTCCGGCTATTGAGAGTCGTCCCCGTATAGCTAACTAATAAATAGTTATAGGTAGCTAAGAGCTTCAGCCAGCCATCCAGTCACGACTGCAACACCCACAACACCCACTCAACACACGACTTTGACAGCAAGCACTAACTACAAAATACTACTACTACTGACTAGCTGGACTGGCTGGACTGGCTGCCGGTAGTAACTTCATCGACAGGAGCAGTGGGAGCCAGCAGGCAAGCCACCCAGCCAGGGGTTCGTCCATCCCTCAAGCCTCACTCTGCAGCTGGCCCGACTAGACCCTCGGACTAGTTGCATCGCCTACTTCTACCTCTACCTCTACCTCTACCTCTCTCTACCTGGCTGCAGGGTAGCCCGTCTGTATCTCATGTATAGCTGTCCGACTATAGACCAGATAAGAGGCCGACGGGACAGGCCAGGACAGCACGATCTGGAGCCTGCATGCGAGACACCGTCGATAGGCGCCTGCAGCTGAGCTACCAGCCCAGCCTTGGAGGGTCCGGCGTCCAGAGGTAGCGCCTTGTATATCGCTCATGATGTCATGATCTATCCTCTTCTTGTCGTTGCTTCATCTTCACCTACTATGTCGTCTGGTTGTTGTAGAGTATTCCTATACCATCCCATCATCAGCATCATCGGTATCAGTAGTATCACCACCACCAGTAATATCATCACCGCCAGTATCATCACCACCAGCACGGAGTACTTCGTAGTATCACCATCACAAGTATCAGCGTCTTCCGTCTGTCCAGTTCAGCCCTCTTGGTAGCGCATCTTCGTCCTCTGAAGCTGGCCAGGCACGTTCCGGGATGATTGGCGCGGTCAGGAAGAGCCCGTTGGGCCATGCTGGGCCATGCAGCGGTACTTCTATCGCCCACCGGATTTGTATGGCAGCCAGAAGTCACTCGCCATCGCCTCGCATTCGACGACCCTTTTCCGTCTCTCGTCTCGTCTCGTCTCGTCTCGTCTCGTCTCGCCTTCGTCTCCTCCAGCGGCCGTCGTCAGGATCGACCAGACTCGAAACACGTTGCGCAGGAAGCTCTCGTCTTTTGTCTTCTTCTCGCCGCCGCCGTCGTCGTCGTCTTCTTCGTCGTCGTCTTCTTCGTCTTCTTCTTCTTCTTCTCGTTCTTCCTCCTTATCAGCTTCTCTTCTTCATCTTCCTGCTTATCCGCTGCTGCTCCCTCCTTGCTCCCTGTTTCTCCTTTCTCCTTAATCCCTCCTTGCCCTGTCACAGCCAGCAGCAGCCAAACGTGACTTTCTCTTAGGACTTTTCCTGCTCCTCGGCCAGCTTCATCTCTTCATCATCATCATCTTCTTCCTCTTCTTCCTCTCCTCGTGGCGGTGTCCTTTTCCCTCCTCGCCGGCCAAAAAGAAAGTACTTAACGCTCTCCCTCCCCTTCGACCTCCACTTCTTCCATCCTTCTTCCTCTTCTTCTTCCTCCTCTTCTTCTACCTTCTCTCTCTCTCTCTCTCTCTTATATATATCTTCCTCCCTTTATATATCACTTTGACTCCCACCAGCATGGCCGGCTTCGGCCTTCCTCGCCCGCTTCTTCACCTCGCTTGATCTTCTTCTTCTTCTTCGTCTCTTCTTTTTTTTATTTATTTATTTTTCTTTTTCTTTTTCTTCTTTGGTTGCTTCTCCTGCTTAGTCATCTCTTCACGTGACATCCCTTTTTGGGCTTCCTTTTTTTCTTCTTTTTTTTTCTTTTTCAGCTCTTTTTTTCGAAGCAGCCAAAAAAAAAAAAAAGCGACGACGAGGAAGAAAAGAAAGAAGAAAAGAAAAAGCTTGAAGGACGCAAGAGAAGAGAAGAAGCAGACAGATCACTCTCGCGGCCCCAGAAGTGAACAGCAGGCGAACGCAAAAAACAAAGCAAGGGAAAGAAAAAGGTTGCTCTCGTATTCCGCAGTGAAAGTCCATCCACTCCAAGCCCGCCATCACCACCAACCATCACCATCACAACCACCACAACCGACCACCACCACCGGTCAGACCAGCATCCTGCATATAAACCGCCCCAAGCCATTGAATAGACCGCTGGGAAAGACGCTCTCGAGATACACAGCTGGTCGCCAATGTCCTCCCCATGTCAGCCTCCGCTTTTGCTTCCGACAACCGCGCCACGAAGCCCAGCAGCGCGTCTGCAGCAGACCCTCCAGCTACCCTTCTAGCATCGTCACCACCACCAGCAACAGCAGCAGCAACAGCAGCAACATCCACTTCAGCACCGCCAGCAACCTCCTCTCCGGCCGCTGCGGCACCGGAACCAGCTATCGATTCCCGTCTCTCGCCCTTCTCCGCTCCCTCAAAGTCGGTGCCTCCCTCGCCGCCCCAGACTCCCCTGATAAAGCCGTCGGCAGTGCCTCCGCTGCCAGACAACCACGCACACCCGTCCCTCAAGCGCACCAACACCTGTCCCGGCCTGACGCCCACCTCTTCATCTTCCTCGGTCTCTACCTTTGCGGCCAAGCCGTCCTCGGGTGCACAGCAGTACGGCTCCCAGTCTCCCCAGCTGACGGAGCGGGACTCCATCTTTGCTACTCACTATCTTCCCTCAGAGCCAGACAACGAACAGGAACAGGAACAGGAGCACGATCAGGAGCAAGATCAGGACCAGGACCGGGCAGACGAGCAGCAGGGCACATATGATTTCCGTCCCCGCCAGCTGAACACCAGATATGTCAGTTCGCTCTCCTCGTCTCTCGGTTCGGCACGATGGCAGCCAGTTCCCTCGCCAGATCCAATACCACCAACTCTAGATGATCGCATGACCCACCAACATCACCAGCAACATCACCAGCGACAGCACCAGCAGTTCGCATTGCCCACCCGCTCTCGCACCGTAACCGACTTCTCCTCCCTCTCAAACCACGATAACACCGGTGTAAACAACAATTCCGGCATCCCTCTCACCTTTGACCGTCTCTCACCACGGCCATCTCCCGTCTTCCGCCCCCAGCCAGGTCCAGACAGAGGCCGAGGTCATCACTCCCAGGGCCACGGACAGGGCCAGAACCAGGACCGGCGCCAGGATCAGGATCAGGAAGAATCGTCCTCTGGCACGGACACAATGGCTCTCCTCGCTTCCCGGGACCTTAGCTCCCACCTCCATAATCATCACCACCACCCCCATCATATTCACCGTCATCCCCATCATAATCAGCATCAAAACAACAACAACAATAACAATAACATCAACAGCCACCTCATGCGTGGACGCACTTCTAGAGTCGAAAAGTCTATCGAAGCTAGCTTGGCCAACGTCGATCCTAGTGCCAATGTTCGCTCCCGCAAGTCAAGCCACTACCTTGGGCTCTTCAAGGAAAACACCGGCGAGCCAGAATGCAGGAAAAGCATTGCTCCAGAACTTGCCTCTCTTGATGAGCTCTCGGGTGTCGGTGTGGGTGCTGGCGCCGCCCGGCCGGATACCACCTCAGCCGACGAATCGCCAGCCGTCGTCCCCAAGGAGCTTCTAGACGAGATCCGGAGCCACCAGCATCGCCGCCAGGATGGTGCATCCCCCGCTAATGGAGCTCAGCCAGGGCTACCAAGGTCAATTCCATCTCGTGACACTCGAATGCTCTATCCCGGTCACGCGCTCGAGGGCTTCTCTCCAGATTCAGACTTTGCTGCCGCCCGGCCTGGTCTGGCCGAATCGGTGTTCGAGGACGATGACGAGGACAAGGAGCGTATATCCTCCGCCCTCTACTTCCCGCACCAGCGCCCTCTCGAAGCTGCAGACAAGGATGCCGGTAACAAACTGCAGCCGGAACAGCCACTCTCCTCTTCCCCGGCCAACCTAAAGCCCTCCCTCAGCGAGACCAACCTGGTCGATATCTCCCTCTTCTCAAAGACTGAAAAGAGCCATTTCACCGGTGACCTGCGCAAGACCATCCCCGAGCCTATAGAGCCGCCCGTCTCTTCTTCCTCTGACCCTCACGCCGTCTCCGTGCCTTCCGGCACGGCCGCTGTCGTGGTCGAACCAGCAACCGACATCTCTGAGTCCGACTACCTCTCTGCCTCGGAAAGCTACACCTCCACCACTCACGACGAACCAGAGGACGACGATGACCTGTCTTCCCACGATGAGGCGGCTGGAACCACTCCTCGGGGCACTCCCAGGCCATCTCACCCCCAGATCAAGCATCCTCAGTCTCAGCACATACGCTCGCCGACTACCCCCCTCGGTGCCGTCGAGCTGAAGCCCTACCGTCACCAGGTCGGCGGCCACACCACCGTCTTCCGCTTTTCCCGGCGTGCAGTATGCAAACAGCTAAACAACAGAGAGAACCAGTTCTATGAACGTATCGAGAAGAGACACCCGGAAATGCTCGTCTTTCTCGCCAGATATATCGGTGTTCTGAACGTGACTTTCTCCAAGGGATCGAAAAAGCCCAGCAAGAAGGATAATAATAATAATAACAAGGATGACAATGCTGCGGTCACATCAGAGCCTGCAGCAGCCAAGTCTACAACAACCATTGATGCCCAAACCTCTGCCGTCACCTCTACTGCGTCATCCCCGCCGAAACGCACTGAGTCAGGCAAGGCTAATAATGGCCAACGCATCTTCAGCCAGTCCCAAGTCACCGGGGTAATACCCAAGGTCATCCTGGAGAATAACCGCCACATCATCCCCTTTGACCTCTTCATGACCCCCCAGTCGGCCAAGTCCACCAGCGGCAGCGGACATGCCACACCCACCCAGTCTCACTGTGGCTCGCTCGAGGATGTCTCTGCCAATCTCACCTGCTCTCCCAAGTCGACGCCTGAACTCAATGGAGAGTCCGACAAGCCTCCAGCATCCATGACATGGGGTGCCACCACCGTCAACACAAAGCTCCAGGAACAGGTTCTGCGAGAGGTCTTCACTCCTCCCACCATATACTCGCACCATCAACGTCGTCACCGTGGTCCAAGAAACATCCCCAAGCTACGATCTGGTGCCTCTTCCCTACGTAAGGATGGGAAACTCTTACCCTTGCATAGGGGACGCAGCGAACTCTCCGTCTCCGCAGCTGGCAATCCCGCTCTTTCATCTTCTGCTACTGCTTCCATGCAAGAGGATACAGCCACTCGAGTGTCTGGCCAGCGTCGTCGACGGAGGCACTCTGGTTCTGGCCTCGAGAGGAAACGCAGCATGAGCACTGGTCCCGGTGATCTCATGTTCTACGAGGACGAAGGATACGGTGGAGACAAGGAGGACGAGATCTTTAAGATGGAAGATGATGTACGTCTGCCTGTCAAGTCTGATAGTACCCCTACCAGAGGACGCGAGCAGGTTACCCTTCCTGTCTCCCTAGGTACATCAACCGGCGAACCCGTACGTCTACCCACCAATCCCAAGGAAGCCCAGACAACCACCACCAGCGAGGATCGTGTGCAATTTTTCCTGCTCCTCGAGGATCTGACTGCCGGAATGAACAAGCCCTGTGTTCTGGACCTGAAAATGGGGACCCGTCAATACGGCATTGACGCCGACGAGAAGAAAAAGAAGTCTCAACGCCGCAAGTGTCAGAGCACTACCTCCCAGCAACTCGGCGTTCGGCTCTGTGGCATGCAGGTCTGGAACGTCAGCAAGCGCGAGTACCTCTTTGAAGACAAGTACTTTGGCCGTGATCTCTCGTCTGGCCGCGAATTTCAAGATGCCCTCACTCGTTTCCTCTACGACGGAGCAGACTATAGTTCGGTCATCGGCAAGATACCCATCATCCTTGACAAGCTCTCCCAGCTCGAAAGCATGATTGTCCGTCTCCCCGGCTACCGCTTCTACGCCTCTTCTCTGCTCATCCTCTATGACGGGGACCGTGACCGCTCCTCCAACTCCCCTTCATCTCCCTCCAAGGACTCAAAATCCCACCGCACCATCTTTGAAACACACTCGGACTCTTCCCTTCCCAACCCATCAAACCTCACGCTGAAAATCGTCGACTTTGCAAACTGCGTCACTGGCGAAGACGGCATCCCACCTTCATCCCGCTGCCCACCACACAACCCCACAGATATAGACAGAGGTTACCTCCGCGGCCTACGCACGCTACGCATGTACTTCCAGCGCATCCTACGCGAAGTCAGTGCTAGTGTTGGTGAAAACTATGTCGAGCGTGGAGAAGGCGAGGCACTCTCCGCGGCACCCTCGAGCGTTGTTGGAGCCGGCCGGGAAAGAGGAGAAGCATGGGCATGGGATGAAGCCCTGGGCGAGCTAGAGGAGGGGGAGATCAGTGTATAAAAACTGATATACACGCATACAACCCAAACGCATGACATTATATTTTCCAACCCAACACACCACTGCAAGATACCCTTACTTACCCTTATTTAACCCCCCAAATCCCCGCTCTAGTTTTCCTTTTCTTTTCTTAGCCTTGTGCCTGTGCTTTTGCTTCCTTTCTTCTTCTCCTTTCGTTTATTTTCTTCCATCGGTATCGGCATGGTCCACGGCACGGAAACAGGCGCCGGCGCAATCGGGAGCGAGGGAACTGAATTGACCAACGACCCCAACCAATTAAAGACGGATACGGCGTTATTTTACCTTCTTCACTTTGCATGTGTTTGTTATTCTTATTCCCCTTCCAGCTAGTTAAGCAATTGTTTTACTTGTTATATTTTTTTTTTTATTTACTTTTTTTTTTCCCACATCCCGTTCTCATACTTTAAAATTCCTCCACCTTTCTCCTCCTTTTTTTCTTTTTTTTCAAGGCTTCGGGATATCTTGTTACGGGATGGATGGTCGGCCGCCAGTGGCTGCCATCGTTAGGCGAAACGGCGAGGCCAGGGATGGCCACGGATAACAAAAAAGAAAGGAAGGAAAAAAAAAAAGAAAGAAACAAAAAAGAAGATACATCCTGCATTACTTGTTTGCATTCATACACCCATCCACGTTGTTCAGCTTGTTCGTTTCGTTTGCCTGTCTTGTCTTGCCCTTTTTTATCCTGCGTTCTGACGAGGATGTTTGTCACTTTTATATCGTTGCTTCTTCTCGGTTGTTTCAAAGATTGATTCCTCACCTTACTTATTATTACTCATACCTTTCTCGCTTTATGAACGGGAGATGGAGTTTCCGGTGTCCCTTCGGGGTCGTCTCTGCCTTGTCCTATCTATTTCCTTGCTCGTTGCTTTCCTGTGTGTTTGCTTGCTTGTTTGTTCGGCGCTCGTTTTCCGGCTTCCTAATCTATGACTTTATTCAATTATCTATTCATTAACTCGGGACTGATGATTTTTTTTTTCTTCTTCTCATTCTCCTTCTCCTTATTCTTTTCTCCTATTGTATTTGACGTATCGGCTATCTATCTCCTTCACTGGGTTTCCTTTACTGGGATGAATGATTTATGATAATGGGATCGGATTGGTAGGCAAAAAAGGTCGGCTATCAAAATATTCCTTACTTATTACAGCGTACATCTTAGAAAATGCCACACTTCAAATCGTAGCCTCTCGATTTACTTTTGCCTTGCTTTTGCTTGGGACAAATAGGGAAGCTGAATGGTAATAATATTGATAAACCTGATCAGTTCAGAATTACTCCTTGCTTGCCCAACGATTCCCTAATGTATGCGTATGTATGCACCTGTACCCATTTCATTAAGCCAGCTATCCAAATGGAATATCCTCGCTTGCACTCGAGGGAGGAAGAAAGAAGAACAAGAAGCAGAACAAAAAGGCCAGAAATAATATAGTAAAACAAAATGTCGAAATCGAACAGAAGAAGAAAAAGCAAAGCAAAGCAACGCCGCGCCATGTCGATGTCAACATCCCTCGCCTGTGCCAAAGGCATCCCGAAGAAATGAAATAAAAGAAAAAAAATAGAAAAGAAAAGGAAAAGAGAACCCTTATACTCTCCCGTTGCCTTTCTCCCTTGCCTTTTCCTTCTTCCTCAATACTCCCAGCTGTTCCAGTCGATTCCATACCCAGTCCTTTTTCACCCTCACTGCGCCTTCGTGGGCATGGACATGTGCATCTCCAGGACCGACATGCCCGCCGCCGTCATCATCATTAATTTCGTTGTCATCCGGCGAACTGCACTGCGGCAGACCGTCGAGATACGTTAGTCGTCCTGACGTAGCATTCTGGATCATCAGTTCTATCACCCGTCGTCGGAGCCGGGTAGGCTCGTCGAGGTGTGCCTGGTACTTCGCATCTGCGAATGGATCCGCGAACGGGACGGTGTACGGGTCATCCACCTCCTTTTCATTGTTTTCCGCTTCGTTTTGTTCCTCGTGAGCGTCCAGGGGAGGGTAATCAATGTAGTTGTTAGAATGGTATGAAGGGTGTCGGGCAATGTCCTTTCCTCCTCCGATGTATGGAAGTGACCGGTTAAGGAGGTCGTCATCGTCCGCCTTGTGTTTGATAAGGTCCCGCTGGGTATTATTTCCTGTGTATCTTTGCTGCGGCTTCCCGCTTCCTGATACTGGCGGTGGATAGAATCCAACGGTTATCGGGTTTCCTCGCAGGTCGACTCTGGTCAAGGAACCGTGGGCTCCACCAATTTCGGCCAGGACCTTGCACATGCGTCGGAGTCGTGCGATGCGGTTGCCTACCAAGGTCAGCCGGTTCAGTCGTTTTATGCCTCGTAGACCATTTATATCCGGTAAGGCGTTAAAATTCAGATTAAGTGTCTTTAGGTTAGAAAATGTTTCCCCAAATTGCTCAGGCAAAGCCTCAAGCGTGCACGAGGCCAGGTCTAAAAGTTGCAAGCTTAGAATGGGAGTATCTGGCCTGAGTGTGTCTGCCGAGAGGAAGTTCGATGAAAGGAATAGTTTGCGGATTGAAGACACCTTGCCCAGATTGAGATTTATCGGTATAGGTTCAGCATAGCTTATAGAGCCACTGGGGTCATTAGAGGGTATACTTTGCTCCCGCATAGAGAGGGTGTCGAGGAATCGGCAATCCTCAAGCTTCTCTACAGTGCTGAGATGATTGCAGTCGACATATAGAACACGCAATGATGGGAAAACCGACAAATCAAGCTGGCCGAGACGGTTCCCGGACAACTTGAGGATGTCTAGACGTCGAAGAGGCCGGCGTACCTTGAACTCTTGGATCTGGTTTTTTCGAAGATCAATGGTTTCAATCCCATGTAGGGCATCAAGATTCTGTATGGTATGAATGTCATTACCACACAGGTCTAGTTTACTCAGTCGGATGCTATCCAATGTTAGCCGCATGTTCTATTATTTCAATGACGAGCATACTTACAGATCCGCATGCTTAAAGTCCACGGAGGTCAATTGATTATTTGAGACTTTAAGCGTTAACAGACCATCTAGCCCAAAGATCCCCTTGATGCACGTGAGCTTATTATTGCTCGCATTCAGACTCCGCAGGTGATATAAATTAGAGAGACCGTCAAGATTGTCCAAGTCGTTACCGGATATATCGAGATACTGAAGATTCGATAGATGGCTCCATGAAGTCAGACTAGAAAGGCAATTATATGGCGAGGCGAGGCTTCGGACCGTTGCCGGGATGCCATTTAGGTGAGCGAGCTTGTTCTCCCCTACATCCAACTCCTGGAGCTGAGGACAATACTTGTCAAGCTGATGGAGGGTTAACAGTCTCTTCCCCCTAAGGACCAGCCGACGCATCTGTTCCCAGTATGCCTCATATGGCTCTGCGTCTGTAATGTGTTGCACGATGTCCTCAGCGGCTAGTGCTAGTTTCCCGTGTAGTTGTCGTAGTGCGTGTGGGTTAGCGCGTTTGGCAATATAACTGCGCTCTCCTCTCATGGACTCATCAACTTGATTGACTGTGAACTCTGACAGAGGGCTCATGTGGAAACTGTAGTTGCTCGAACCCAGGTTGGGTGGAGCAATCATAACCGACCGATCAACATCTGCTACCGATGGTATAACAGAGAGATCGTTGTTCTGCTCTTCACCCTGGTCATCAATTGATTCTTCAGTGCCTTCCTGTATGCACGATAGTTCAAAACAATCTTGTTCCGGTAATGGAATATCATGCGGTGGGACATTTCCCAGTGGACTTTGAGGTGCGGCATCAGATATCCACTCGCGAGCTTCTTGGGTATGCTCTGAACATAATTCATCTTCACCCTGGTATGCAACTCCAGAAACCAATGGAGAGGAAAAAGTGATAGTGCCAGATCGTGTACGGGTGTTTGGCTCATGCAACGGCCCACTGTAGACGTCTGGTTGTTGTTCGACTTGCTCCTCTTGATCAAGAACTTGGGGCTTTTCGAGGCTTATTTTATGGTTTTGGAACTCTTCTGATCCCCAGGAAGTAGCTCTGGTGCCTGGCTTGGGAACACTAACCGTAAATCGAGTGTATTTAGACTGTACAGAGCTTGACTCAGACATCGGGTTCTGGGCGCTCTCGCGAGTTTGTGGGCGAGGATTGTGCTCAGCTTGAAAAGAGGCCTTCTTTTCGGGCTCTGGTGGGAGAGACTCCTCAGGCAATGGCAATTCAGGCCCAGAGCCGAATACAGTCCCCGCTGGCATTAGACCGCGAGCGATAGCAAGTTCTTTCAGCTCATCGACACTGAGATCAGATATATCTTTGAAAGGATCATCTTCACTGACGGTTTGGGAGCGATTATGAGCATCTGGATCGGACCTGGCGGGATTCTTTACCCAACATTGCGTATTTCGATCAAATATCATTCTTCCAATGTTTTCTGGAATCAAATGGGAAACTCGATCCGAAGATATGACCCCCTTTGCACCAGAACTATTGGCAGAGCCCTGCGAAAATCCGGTCGGGAGGCTTGTTGCTGACTTTTGGCTCTTGACGGACTCCTCTGACCGAAGTACTAGCTCGGCCTGCTGCCCATCATGACGGACGTTGGACCTTATCCGGATATTCTCAGGGCTGCTTTCCACAGTATCTTCAAAGTATCCAGCATCTCGATGGGGTGACTGATTTGGATGTAGCAGACCATTCTGTTGTCTGAATTTCAACGTTCCAACGGAAGCACCCATTCCAACATGGAACTCGTCTTTCTCTTCGAACTTCTTCAAGTGGCTGATAATTCTTGGGTTTGGCGGAGGCACTTCTCTCTGTTTTCTTAAATCAACACCGTCACGACTGGGAGGCCGCGAGAACTGTTCTTCGCTGGACGCGTCACTGTATAGCGCGGAATCATCCTCATAGATGGTTTGATAACCCTCATTTCGCCGGGTAGAGCCGCTTATTGGCCCTCCCTGGGCCCTGATATGGTCCATCACTTTGGATGCTTCATTATAGTATTCCTGGGTGGTAATCGAGCCTTTCCTGGGGTGTTCGATGTGGAAAACAAAGCTGGCACCGGGACATGCCGCTGTTTCCTGCTTGTCAGGGCCAGCAAACAGGGACTGGCCGTTCGCTGTGATAGGTCGGAAACTAGTCGGCGTAGGGGCAGCTGGCCTTGAGTAGGACGGAAGACGTTGTTGACTTCCATCCATACCTTCGGTGAGGGAATGATTAGAGAAAGGCCCCGTAGAATCAAGTATTGACTCGTCCCAAACCTGATCTTGGCCTGGGAGAACTTGCAGTGTCCTCCTTCTTTTTGAGACTGTGATTTTCGACGACCGTTTCAGGCTCCTTTTAGCTTCTGTTTTGGACAGGGGTGGTAGCTGTTTCTCGTATGCTTGGTGCGGACTGCTGTTTTCTTTATCCTGTGGTGAACTGGGGACTTGAAGTAAATTTCGAGGTTGTTTATTATCCATTCCCAGGTGTGTAGTATGGCTCGACCTGGAAATATTGGTTCTGGAGGACAACTTAGGCAGCCCATCTGGGCTCATGTCCTCGCGTTCTGCGTCGAGGTGACTAGCATCGTCCGCACCTGAGGCGTTGGCAGCCTCGAACTGGCTCATCCTGCGCAGGAGCTTGTTGCTTGTGTAGGTATCATGGTTTCCAAACAGCTTCAAAGGGCTTCCTGATGACGAGGGTCTGGGTTTTGAGCTATCCTCTGCCAGCTGTTCCACGTCCGGGGGAGAGTGAAGGCGTATTGATGGCGGTGTTTGCGGTGTCTGCGGTACAGGAGGTATCGGGACTCCCCCCTCTAGTATCGAGCTTTGAGGGTGCGGTGGGCGTGACGACGCGCTAACTGTCCGTATGCGAATGGAGTCGCTGTCCGAATAGGCTGCTTGACGTGAAGTGTCCAATGCGTCGCCCGGTGACGTGCAGTCCTGTGTACCCATTGATAAGCCCTCTGGTAGTGATATAGAAGTAAGGTTCTCGGAGTCGGCATCGAGGCTATCGTCTGGCAGGCGGCTATCACTGCAAGCAGCCATGTTCTCCAAACGTGTCGGACTCCGGCTCGACTGGTTGCGTTTGGGCAGTGAGATGTAGCTGGCCTCGTTATCCCGTATGACACTAGCGCTGGCATGGCTGCTGGAACTCAGTCTCGAGTTGAATTCGATGCTCAGGGAGGAGAGGTGTTCTCGCAGGGGCTCGATGCCTTCAGCCTGGTTCTTGTGCGGCGTGTAGGGCCTGCCATCACCTCCTATCATGACCTCTGACATATGTTCCATCCACGATGTGTCGCTTCCTCCATGGGAATCGCGAAAAGGCCCTCCGCGGCTCCTCTGGCTCCTCTGGCTTCGCTGGCTTCGCTGGCTCCGTTGACTCCATAAGCTCCGTTGGCTCCGTTGGCTCCTCTGCGTGCCATTTGTTCTCTGGCTGTGGAACGGCTCGCGGGCAGATGATACGCCGTCCTGGCGAGCGGCCGCATCAGCAGCCACAGGGACCGAGAGATGGGACTGAAACAGCGACTCTGAGAACGATGGCGGCCTGAAGACGGTCTCCAGCCCCATTGGGCCGAAAAGGTCGCTCGCCTCGCCCAGCGCGCGCTCGCCTCTGATGATTCTCCTCTTCCACTCTGGAGTGGTGTTGCCGCCTCCCTCACGCCGCGATTTGATCTGCATCGTCCCATCGCCATCGCCATCGCCATTGCCATCGCCCATACTGTTCACCGTGGAGGTCTGTCCCGAGTAGCGGTAGCTGTGGGGTTGGTTGCTGGCGCTGGAGCTGTCGCGATAAGGCCGTGGAGAGGGAGTGGGCGAGGTGTCGGCGTCGACCTCGTCGCAATCAGCCGGAAGGACAGGTGAATTGGTCGCAGAGACAACCTGCTGCGAGTCCCAGTCGTCATCGAGGCCATCTAGCCACGGTTCCGCCATGTTTGGTTGCTCGGCTGGCTGGCTGGCTGGCTGTGCGGTGGTCGTCGACTCGCTAGACTTGGAGATGTTCGGGCGACGCGCTTCTTCCCCCTGAGAGCGAAGTCATATCAATACGGGAAATTAAGATCCGTCACTCCAGCGAAAAAAGACTCCGCAACGAAGAGAAAAATACGCAAGAAGAATAAAACGAGAGTAACGATAGAGAACAGTAGAAAGGAGAAGACCACCCCGGAGCGACCAAAAGCGAAGAAGGAGTAAATTTGCTGTGATGATAGTTAATAGAAAGCAAGATAAATAAACAAGCGAGGATGGACAGGCGTTTATCAGCCACAGCTTCGCTGGCGGTCGTTTCTCCTTGGTTGTTTTTCCCTTGGGCGAAACCTGGGCCTGCAGATCGCGATTGTTCTCCCTTCCTTGCTTTTTCCTGCTGCTGCCTCTTGCTCTCCCTCGCTCGTCTCTTTGCTCGCTTTGCTCGCTTTGCTAGCTTTCTTATGCTCGCCTTTCTATTCGACCGTAAAAATAACAACATAAATATTAATAATAAAAATAACAAAAATAAGAATAATATTGAGATGTAAACAAACTTCCCAAAACGGCTAGCGCAAGCTTAGTCATGTCACGTGCTTTCTATTTTTGTCGCTTTTTTTATGCTTAAAATTTTGTTTATTTTTTTATTTTGACGACGTGAAAAGAAAGCTTTTTTGCGACGACGAGAAAGACAGAGATACAGGCAGAGAGAGACGAGTTGCCGGGTGCTTGAGCGGTGTTGTCGGTGCTGCGCCCATACGGAGTTTAGCAAGTACATAAGTTTGAAGGTCTCGGCTGTGTGGCGCTGGAAGTTCTGTCGGCCCGCTGCCGCAGGTTAGGTAGGTTGAGCTGCCAAGCGGTTTGGTGGTATGGTTGCTCCAAGACTAACATTTTGAAACTGGGCTTTCGGAGTCCCTCAGCGTAAGGTCTTGCACACGGTTGGTGCGGTTCGTCGCTTGCCTCGCATTTTAGCACAGGAAAGTGCTTCGGCAGCTTTAGAGTCGCTCTGGGATAGCCGCCAGGGCTTATTCAAAGCAAGGCAACAGCCGCAGCAGCTAGGCAACCATAGCCTTTTTCCTCCCTCCTTGCGCGTTTAGAGCAATCCCCTGTGACCATTGAAACCAGCCAAATCACCAGCTGCTGCCTTCGTGGCATATAATATTCCACCTTCGCTATATCGGGTGCTTTAGGGGATTAGTTGGTACGGTCCGCTAATTATATATCCTGTCAGCTCGCCCGTTGTGTGGCCTTCCGCAAATGCTATCCCAACTATACACAGTGCTGCGTCTGTTGCTCAATGACCAGCCTGTACTCCGAGGGCACCTAATATCGAACTCCTCCTTCGTCGGCTCAAAATAATGCCCATCAAATTCCCGGACTCCTTCTTATCATCCCTATCGTTTGACCCGTTATCCTCTGCCTCATCGGACAGCGAGAGTGAGAAGGACGAAGCCGCCAGGGCTGCAAAGAGAAGGAGAATCGAACGAGTGGCACGAGATTACTTGCAAGGAAACCCGCCATTCATTTCAACGGCCACACTACTTGGACCATTCGACGATGGTTGGGTCAATCCCTGGCGGAAGGTACACAACCCACGGTCTGTGTCTTTTCCTCACAGCACACAACAACACACTTCGCGGCCATGTGTGATACAAGCAGAGACGCCTTCCGATCCACAAGCGGCAACGCTTCAGGAAACCCCAAACCTGTTTGCTGGAACTGATTTATATCAGAAGAGCAACCATGCGGGCGAATCCCAGTCTCGGCGTGTAAGCAGGAACCCGGAAAGCCGAAGTCGAGCCAGTTCAAGACAGTCTTCGAAATCAAGGTCGGCCGCGGCATTGGATGTATGGTCGAAGAGAGACAAGTCACGACTGCACCTCGGGCTAGACGGGACACCAAAGTCTCCAAGCCCGTCACCATCGGTCAGATTAAGTAGCTCTCGCGTGTCGAAGCGCCCTTCCGAGAGGTCACACAGGAGCTCGTCGTCTCCCTGCCGTGCAGGAACACCCGCCAGTCAGGTCATGTACCATCGAACCATCAACTTCACAGCAATCAATGCACCTACCCCCGCCGCTCGTCAACCGATTGCCACTACTCACGATCCCACTTCCCAGAACAAGCAAGCAGCCTTTCTCCAACATAACCACAGTGGAGGTAGCTCGGCTGAGTCAGACAAACTGCGGATGCTGCACAAGTCCAGTCTAGAGGAGTCTATTCGTGCATCAAAAGGCCCAAGCACTGCAGGCAGTCCTTCCAGGGCTATCCCTACTCTCGAGCCTGTGCTATGCAACAAGAACCAGCATCAAGCAGATATACCCGCACCAACTGCAAGCAATATTCTCGACGCCACAAACAACTCATCACTGGAAAACGCAGCTGCTTCAGGAAGGAAATCCGAACCCTTGCAGGAGAACAAGGCGATCGTTAACGAATGCCAGAAGGCCTCAATTACGTGTATCACTTCCGTCCCCCCTTTGAGCCTGAGAGAAAGTGAGGCACGAAAGACAGGCTCGACTCTCCCAGAGCAGGACTCCGAAACGATACCAGCCGCTCAGGTAGTTCCACCCATCTTCACTCCACGGCAGCTCACTCCATTTAGCTCTGCGGACCTGCTCCAACTACCGTTCCATCAAAGTAACGAATCCGCGGCGGAAGACAGCCGCCCGCCGGATAATAATAATAATAATAATGAGAACAAAACTAGCAATTCACAAGCTTCGGTTACGACTACACAGGAGCCAGGAACGAATGATAGCGCGTGCCGGCCACCTCTGAAAGGAGCTCAGCAGCGTCCCACCAACCTGCTTCGAAGAGCTGCATCGAGCAGTTCGTTGCAGAAGGTCATCAAGCCGTTCTATTCTTTAACTGGCAGCCTTCGGGCGATAGGTGCAAAGTCAAAACCAAGCACAGTGTCGAAGAATGCCCGATTCCACGACGAGAATACGGATATCAATAATGATCAAGCGAGTGAACACGAAGGGAAACAAAAGCAGACCGCTCCGGGGCCCGAGAGATTAGCACTGTCTGCGTCCTGTCCTCCTGGTCCACGGCCTCAGCAGCAGATCAACGGCCCCTCCCAGCTGCCCACCCGGGCCCCTCCTGGGAGCTCTCTGGCGGGGGAGCAGCCCTCCACCACCTGCTCTTCGGGAACACCATTGTCGCTTGCGATGGCCATGAGCGGGCTTACGGACCTTTCGACTCAGCCAGACGGCCAAGGCTTGCTCGTTTTGCAAGAGAACAACTTCGACCTGACAGGAGCGCTCGAAGATGCTGAGAGCTTCCTCCAAAGCTGGGATATTGAGCGGGACCGACAGCTACTGCGAGATAACACCGCAACAGCCAATGGCCTGAAACAGCCTACTCCCAAGGTTTAGGCACGAGCGAAGATCAAGATGTGTTGGTCCATACATACATACAAACATACATGTGTGCTAAATAACCTTGTTTCTTTTTGGTTCTTGCATCGTTCGCTCGCCCGTTTCTAATCTTTTTTTTTGATTTTTTTTAAATTTTTCCTTTTCTTGCTTTCTAGACTTTGATATCTGTCCATGCATCATCATCAATTGTCAGCATTTAACAACATTTACATCAGCAACACCAGCAGCATCAGCAGCATAAGCATAGCATAAGCATCACCCGATAGCCCCATAGACAATTGGTAATGATATGATACCCCGGCCTCGCCTTTTCTCCATTCTCCTATTTCCCTGGTTTTTGCGTTCTTTTTTGACGAGAAATCCCACGTCGGCAAGTAGAATTAACTTCCTGGCGGCGGAGCGAAACTCCACCGCCCACAGCCAGTGCGAGATTGTAGTTCGAGGAGCAGCAGCTCCATCTCGGCCGCCCATGATGTCACTCCTCGCCTCGGATGCGCCGGTCGAATGCCCGCCGGCCCTGCACTGCTACGTGTCGCAGCGTGGAACTTGCCATAGTCACAGCTCGCTTGGCGGGAGCAGGGCAGAAGGAGGGCTTGGAGGGCATGGAGGGGGAGGGGCAGCTCCGGCCGGCCCAAGTATATATAAAAACAGATCCCCCTCCATCTCCTCCTCCTCGACCCCCCCCCCTATAGGAGTTACTCACGGTGTTACTCGATATAAACACATCCTGCCCCTCTGCTCTTCTCGAATCAACCAATTCGTTGCCTACTACCATCTCCAAATCCAATCCAGCAAATTCCAGCCGCCATCATGCCTATCCCAGTTCCAAAGTCCGACAGCCTCATGGAGATGTTCAGCCTCAAGGGCAAGGTCGTCGTCGTCACCGGCGCCTCTGGTCCCCGCGGCATGGGCATTGAGGCCGCCCGAGGCTGTGCTGAGATGGGAGCCGACGTTGCCATCACCTACTCCTCTCGCCCCCAAGGTGGTGAGCAGAACGCCAAAGAGCTCATGGAGAAGTACGGCGTCAAGGCCAAGGCGTACAAGTGCAACGTTGGCGACTGGACCGACGTCGACAACTTCGTCCAGCAGGTCATCAAGGACTTTGGCAAGATTGATGCCTTCATTGCCAACGCCGGCCGCACCGCCGACAGCGGCATCCTCGAGGGCTCCGTCGAGTCCTGGAACGAGGTCATCCAGACCGATCTCAACGGCACATTCCACTGTGCAAAGGCCGTAGGCGCCCACTTCAAGGAGCGTGGCACCGGCAGCTTCATCATCACCTCCTCCATGTCCGGCCACATCGCCAACTTCCCCCAGGAGCAGACCTCCTACAACGTCGCCAAAGCCGGCTGCATCCACATGGCCCGCTCCCTGGCCAACGAATGGCGCGACTTTGCCCGTGTCAACAGCATCTCGCCCGGCTACATCGACACCGGCCTCTCTGACTTCGTCGACAAGAAGGTCCAGGACCTCTGGCTCTCCATGATCCCCATGGGCCGCAACGGCGACGCAAAGGAGCTCAAGGGAGCCTATGTCTACCTCTGCAGCGACGCCAGCACATACACCACCGGTGCTGACTTGATCATCGACGGAGGATACGTCTGCCGATAAATGTGCAGCTGTCTCTGCGCAACCACTTAACTATGTCTATGTCTATCGAGCTGCTTTGATAGTTGAGCGGCCGCCGCTTGGGAGAGACGCCCGAGTGCAGAAGCGCCACCCAGAAATGTACCTAGTTCCTTCGTCGATGCGGAGTAGATAGTGAATACATATCCTATGCGCTTAATCGTAGTCTTCCTTGTCCATGCTGCTGCCGCTGCACTCCGTAGTTGGTGCTGTTATCCTCGTAGTCTGCGTATATAGATAGTTTGATAGCTCGTTAGCTAACTAGTTAACTAACTAGTTAGTTGTGGTGATGACCTCACAGGCTGCAACCTCGCATCTCCGCAAAACCTCCCAACCACGACCAACTCCCGCTCGATGGCGCAGACAGAGCGGACATGGCGCTGACCTCGGTGCGTACAGCAGTGATTTGGCCCTTGACAGGCTGCCGGAAGCTAACAGCAGCTGTTTCTCTCGTTTAGTGGAAGACCTTCGACTTTTTCGACGTCTCGCAGGTGGACTTCGTCGACAGCGAAGGCAGCTCCGTCTTCACCGTATGCGCGCCTCCTCTACCCCCTGTATCAATACGATATCTACGCCGTCTATCTAGCTTGAAGAACCTCTGCTGACAATGACCGCGTGGGTATACTAATAGAACGATGTAAGCTGCGTCTGCACCGGGTCAGATAACCTCTTCGTCGGCACTACCAACGGCACCGTTCACATCCTCTCCCGGCAATACAAAGTCGTCCGCTCATTTCGGGCATACGATGGCGCCTCAGTCACGCATATGAGACAGGTCCCCTCGACCTCTTACCTGGTCACAATAAGCGAGGATCTATCCAACGAGCCCGTCCTGAAGGTATGGGCTCTTAACGAGACCGAGAAGAAGACTGGGGGACCCCGTTGTCGGTCCACGAAATCAGTCCAAAACAAGCTAAGACAGTTCCCAGTACGATGAATGGCTACCATGTACACTCTGAGATGAAGACAGAAGGCTCATATCTGCACCTCTAGATATCTGCATTGGCAGTCCTCGATGACCTCTGGCAAGTTGCTGTCGGCTTTGCCAATGGCTCCGTCACGCTAATCAGAGGCGACCTCATACACGACCGCGGAGCCGAACAACGCATAGTATTCGAATCAGAAGAACCCATTACGGGGCTCGAAATACAGCGATCCGGTCCCGCGACTCTGTTCATCGCTACCACCAGCCGTATACTCTCACTGGTCATCGGAGGAAAAGGAGATGGAAAGCCAGCGCGCGCCCTCGAAGACCTGGGATGCGGAGTTGGTTGCATGACTTTCGACCAGGATACCGGTGACATTCTCGTGGCTAGGGAAGACGCAATATATACATATGGCCGTAGGGGACGGGGGCCAAGCTTTGCCTTTGACAGCCCCAAAACCTCAGTCAACGTTTTCAAAGACTATATTGCCCTGGTTTGCCCGCCTAGAGCTGCCCTGTCAAGGACAGAAACCGTCAGCAGATTTGGGACCAGCCAAGTTGATGACATCTTCAATACTTCCACCTTCACTCTCCTGGAGTCGGACCTAAGATTTATCGCACATTCCGAGTCTCTTTCAAATAGTGTGAAATTTATCTTTATGGAATGGGGTGATTTGTTTATCGTCACCGTTGACGGCAAGGTACGCTTACACATTCCTCGCCCAAATTGAAGTCTTGATCTAATCTTCTTGTAGGTGAATCGGTATCATGAAAAGCCACTCCAGCAAAAACTTGAAATATTGTACCAGAGGAATCTATATATATTGGCAATTAACCTGGCGCAAAAGTCGGGTGTTGACAGACTACAACAAAATGTCATCTTTAGAAAGTATGGCGATTTCTTGTACCAAAAGGGGGATTATGATACCGCCATGCAGCAGTATCTGCGAGCCATTGACAATACTGAGCCCTCCCATGTTATTCGAAAGGTGGGCTTATCCTTTTTTTTATTTTTCATCTCACCCCCTATAATGTTGCCATCTTCTAACGACCTTGTAGTTCCTTGACACTCAACGAATCCATAACCTGATTGACTACCTGGAAGAATTACATGATCACGACAAGGCAACGGCCGATCACACGACATTACTCTTAAACTGCTATGCCAAGCTAAAGGATACTGAAAAGCTGGACTCTTTCATTATGGCACCAGGAGAATTGAAATTTGACCTAGAAACCGCTATAGCCATGTGCCGCCAGGGTGGTTATTTTGAACAAGCAGCATACCTGGCTACCAAACATGGCGAAAGTGACATGGTGGTTGACATCCTGATCGAAGACTCGAAGAAATATTCTGAAGCCCTTAATTATACTTGGAGTCTTGAGCCAGAGCTTGTAAGTGTCTGCCAAATAGTGTCCCTTGTAATACCCAGACATTTGTTACTAACTGCGCTGCTTTTAGGCCTATCCAAATTTGATGAAATATGCCCGTGTATTGCTTGAGCATTGTCCGGAATCAACAACACAGCTCTTTATTGACTATTACTCCGGGAGGTACAAACCTCGAAAGGAGGAAGAACAATCCCCTGAAGTCAAACCACAAGCCACTGGTGGCGCTGTTCAGAATATTGCATCATTCATCCCTCTGCCATACATAGGAGGCTCTAAACAAGACAATAAACAAAGCAATGGGGCCAATCCTCAAGCAACGGCAGAACCCGAAGATACAAATGAAGAATCTTCGACGAATTACGAGATTCCAAAACCCAGAACTGCCTTTTCCTCCTTCGTCGATCATCCTGATCAATTCATTACCTTTCTGGAGAAACTTCTTGAACTAGATGGGTTGAAGGAAGAGGACAAGGTTGATCTGTACACTACCTTGTTTGAGATGTACCTGGATACGGCAAACCGCAAGAAGTCATCTTCAGAGAAGCAAGAATGGGAATCAAAAGCCAAAAGCTTGATACAGGGGAAAAACGTAAGTGTTATACTATAATATACTCCCTTGTCTTACATATGTTGATTGTTTTATAGATTCCCGTATCTGCGTCAAATGTTCTGCTTCTATCGGACCTGTCAAATTTCCATGAAGGAAAAACCCTGGTCCGCGAAAAGGAAGGTCTTAGAGCAGATATTCTGCGATCATATATATCAGCCAAGGATACCCAAGGCGTGATAAAGGCTCTCAAGAAATACGGACAGGAAGAGCCACAGCTATATATCGATGCTTTGACATACTTTGCATCTAGTCCAAAAATCCTCGAAGAAGCAGGCGGCGAGATGGATGCGGTTCTTCAAAAGATCGATAGGGACGGGTTGATGGCTCCCTTGCAAGTGATACAGGCATTCAGCAATAATTCTGTGGTCACTATGGGTATGATCAATAAGTATCTCAGTGATAATATCGAGAGGGAAAGAAAAGAGATCTCCAATGTTAGCCCTTCCCCCCTCTTTTCCTTCCTTAGAGAGTTTTCAGTACTAACTAGATGCCTCGCAGAACCGCCGCTTGATAGCCAGTTATTCAAAAGAAACGGAATCCAGAAAGCAGCAGATGGAAGAGCTCGGTTCCAAACCGACTGTCTTTCAGGCACGTCGTTGCTCATCTTGTGGCGGTAACCTTGATCTCCCCACAGTTCACTTTCTTTGCAAGCATTCCTTCCACCAACGGTGCCTCAATAAAGTTGATGAAGATGCAGAATGTCCCGTCTGCGCGCCGCATAACTCAACTCTCAAGGCAATACGTGAGAGACAGATCAAAGCAGCTAGCCAGCATGAGCTGTTCCACTCTGAATTGCAGCGTAGTAAGGACCGGTTTGGGCTTATCAGCGAGTTCTTTGGCAGAGGTGTGATGACGCAGAACAATACTGAGTAATATAGATCATAGAATCGTTAACCATCATTTGGGGTTATTGCCGCACTACACTTTCTTTCCGTTATGCTATTGTCTCTGGCATTTTTGTCTTTAGTTTCGACAGGCGAGAGATGGGCTCTTCGCCGGCAGCCTCAGCTTAACCAGGCAAAAGGCGATATAACCATGGATTGGAATACCGTAATATTACGGTAACATCCATTGATGTGTAAGGATGGAACAACATTGATCCTATCTGTGCATTAAGTCCACGGTTGTAGTAATACTACCTTATAGAAGAATCAGTACTGATTAACACTGATATATTGAAATTAATAATATATATTACAAGCTTGACCCGAGCGCCAGAGATACCCATAGTGCTGCCTACAGAGAGTATCTTGAAGGGGGAAAAAAGCTTTGGTAAGGTAAATACATTGCGAAGTTAGTACTCCGTAAATACACTTCATTTTCTATCCAATAATATCTCTTGATTCCCCTTAGTAATATAATTATGTAATCCTGACCCTGTCCATTTAGTCCGCTGGAGTAACATCATCGACTTCTTCACTTCGTCTCTAGAACACAGAAAGAAAATATAGTGAAGACAACACACGCTACCGTTGTTAAATTTATCAGAAACCACTCTCTACGTGTTTGTATTTTGCACTGATGGCCCATTTAGTCTGCAGTAATCACGTCATCGACTTCTTGTCCTCTTTGGGCAAGGACAACCCTCTCAAAATAAAGAGGACACGCTCTCCCGCAGTTTCAATGAGCAAAGACAGTCATCTTTTTCAGTTCTTACAAGCTTGCGAAAAGTCTCAAAATCTTCTCCTCTCTGTATCCGTGAGCTAGACGCGTCTGAATCTGCAAATCGTTCTATAGTTCAGTTATCTATTCTGTTAGGCAAAATGGTTGGTGTGACACGCAGACCAGAAGGGTCAGAGGATTCTGGTTACGGTAGTGGTAAGTATTCGTCTACATCCCTAATATATAATACCTCGACTGACGGACTTTAGTGTCATCGACGGGCTCCCAGATCTCGATAGAGCGCTGGATAGCCAGCAAAGACAAGTTTCGAGTCTCTGCCGATGGCCAGATACCCCTTCTTTGGCGCTCCAAACTGCTTCCAGTGGGTGTTGAGGTAAAGGACGCATATAACACCCTTATTTCACCACAAATTCCAGTTATACTGGCTAGACATGAACTTTCTTTTGTCGGAGACAGACTCCATCGCCTCCAACCGTTAGATGCGGCCTATGAAACCAGGGATGTCATAGAAATTTCAACACGGGACGAGAGACCCAGCCGAACGTGGCGAGACGCGGTGAATGAAATTCTGGCTTTAGTCAAAGAGAATATCCCGAATTCGCAGTTGATACAAATCCTGTTGGTCAACACTGATCGAATGTATGACGATGTTTCCAGTGCTCTCCCCAACGACCCATCGATTGTTGAGCCCTTGAAGCGAGTCAAAAATAGAATTGTGGAAGAGGTTGAGATCTCTATGAGTGACCTGAGGCCATCTATTGCATTCCACATGCGACGTCGACGAAACGACTTTAATGCACCAAGGAAGCCTACGGTTATAATCTTCTGCCACCCTCACTCAGTGTGTGACTTTGCAGCTGTCGAGGAGAAGATTCTTAACATTTTAAACGAGCTAGATATCTCAGTGTTTCTAGAGATTTTGCCAGGAAAGCTAGTACTTACAAATCCAGGATTTATATTGAGGCGAATGCGCATTGCCCCGGAAGAGCTACCAGAGCATCCAGTAAATGGAAGCTCAATCGGTGTGAAAGGGAAGGTAGATTCAGCTGGGACATTAGGAGGCTGGCTAATACTCAACCTTCCCAGAGAGAAACGGCAAATAAAATGCGCCCTAACATGCTATCACGTTGTTCGCAGCAACGACCCCAGTGTGACAGCCCATACTGATGCACACGGGATACACTGGAATGACAAACGTGGGTGCCTAGCTATCGAATACCCGGCGTCTCTTGATACACAAATGGCAATGGCTCGCCTGGATGAACTTCGTCGATTCCATCCTGATGACCAACAGCTGAAACAACAACGGCGAATGCTATCTGAGCTTGTAGCCGGTCCAGGAATCGGTAAAGTACTGCTTGCATCAGGCCACCAAGTTAGGGACAACCATAGGCTTGATTGGGCGCTTATCGAAAGCCCGGAGACCTTTTCTAGCAATAGACCCCCTTCCACCCGCCAAGGCAGCTTTGCTTTACCAACAGCTGGTCCTCTATATCGCCCTCACCCCGATGCAAAGATAACACAATTTGGTATACCAAAGGAAGACGACTGGGTTGTTCGAATTGGCCGGACTACAATAGCCTCTGCCTGCATTAGCAGCATGAAAAAGGTGGAATGGCCTTCTGGCTTCTTTACTCAAGAGATTGAACTCGTATCCGAGGACGACGACGTTGCGGACGAGGGGGATAGCGGGTCTTTCGTTGTTAATAGGGAGGGAAATCTTGTGGGCATGATATTTGCGGTGTATAGGTCGCCATCTCGCTTCCACACGGCTTATATGATGACATTTAATTCCATTCAATCCCACGTCAAAGACATGACGGATGGAGGGTTTCTTAGCTTTGACTGAAGAGCTATAACCGCTGTTACAAGCTGGTTTTTAGTGGCCATTAGTTAGTGTGTTATCACCGGTCTGCAATGATAGATCATTAGCTACAAACCAGCTGCTAGAACATTTTCTTATACCTACAATGCAGAATCCGTCCTTGCCGATACAGGTAGCCCGATTTCAAAAGTCTAGCATCATTTATCGTCGCATTATTTCTGTGCAATTCTCACGACATCAATGGTCGTAGTTATCCGACACGAACCCATCCTGTCACCCGTACTAGTTACCAGGGGAGAACTTCTCTAAAATCACTTCATTCTAAAAGCAAGAACCACCAACAAACTCAAGCTACCATCGCCTTTTTAATACGACTTTTTAATTCGACAATGCACCTATAGGTGTGTTGTAGTAGTGGTTGACTCTAGATCTTTTTTCATCACGAGAATTGAACGGATTTAGACACCGTTGTAATTTAAATATTGTTAATGTCTGTGATTCTATCCTCACTGCGTGAAATCTGCAACTAGTGATGACCTGCATTCTATTGGTACGAAGCAGTCCAATAGCCATACATCATAGGAGGGAAAAGCCATTGGAGGGACATAGAGTCAGAGCTATCACAGGGAATTCTCTACACCATCTTCTCTTTTAGTTTTTGATTCCGTTCTTTGTCCAGCTCGGGATAATATGGTAAGACCCAGCCATGAACATCCGGTTTTGAAAAACGTGTCATGAGCTCAGGGATCCGAAGGATGCATATTAACCAGACAACAAAATGGAAAACGGTAACTCCCCATTGGCTGTGTGGTAGGTAATAAGGCATAAGGCTTCGGTTTAATTCCTGAACCTTATTGACGAAAGGGCGCAATTTCTTATCGTAATTTGCAAGAGCCTTAGGTAAGTTATCGGTATTTTGGTTGATCTCTCCAGCCAAAACGTAGGCACCAACAAGTGCAACGGTGGTACCTAAACCGGTAAATGGAGACGGGCAGTATCCAGCATCTCCCACCAGAACAACTCGGCCTTTATGCCATGTATCCGTGCGAACTTGCAGGGCCTCCTCGCAGTAGAAAGACTTCGTTGTCTCCAAACCTTTGAGAAATCTATCTGCCTGCCAGCCCGCATCATGAAACCTCTGGGAGAGGAAGTGTTTCTGTTGTTCCATTGGTGCCTTTGGAATGCGTCGTATATCCTCTGAGCTGTCACGGAGTACAATATAGGCCTGCGAGTCTGTAGAAGTATAACTTCTGCGAAATAGTACGCGGCCACCCGAGCTGTGGTAAGCAACGCTGATGTTGGTATCTGACTCGGCACGGGGAATAAACCAGTATGCCAACATGGCACCTATCCTCCAGTAAGGGTCCGGGGCACCTGGTGGTAGAATGGCTTTTCGAATACGTGATCCCTGACCATCGGCTCCAACTACAAGATCAAAGGTGTCAGTAGAGCCGTCGGAGAACTGGACTGAAACAGTATTTTCGTCCTGCTCGAAACTTTCGACAGTTATTCCAAACATATATTCCACATCCCCTTTCGTTGCATCGTATAGTAATCGAACCAGGTCTCCACGCATAATTTCATAATCGGAGGTCAAGGACTGTGCACCTTTACCAGTCTTGTTAGCAAGAATGGTCCCTTGTACTTTATCCTGCGAGTTGACGAAAGAGACGCCCATCTCATCAACAGATCGGCTGCGAACGGCCCCAAGGAGCCCCATGCGCCTCACCACTTCAATCCCCTGGGCTCGAAGATCAATTTGCGCACCCGAGGCTCTGAGGGCATGGAAACGCTCAATTATTGTCACTTTATGCCCACAGGACGAAAGCAGGTAAGCTAAGGCAGGCCCAGCACAACCACCGCCGCAAATAAGAACCTTCAGGGGAGCCATGTTGCCGTAGATAAACTAGAGGGTTTTTTTTTTTTTTTTTTTTTTTTTTTTATGTTTTAGGTGGTTGTCCTTAGCAATGGTAGTTATCAAGATTGAAAGAAGATGGGTATCTAACAAGAGGAAAGGAATAAGCAACCTCTGAAGAAAGCATCTTCAAGTTAGGGTGTAGCAATTTCTTTTAAACAGACCCGACAGCAAGTATCACGTAACTGGACCGGGGAAGATCCTTTCTCCTAGTCTAACATGGCCGCTGCTGTTTGAATTCTGCGTTTGTCGCCCGACCTCAGCGGTGAGACGAAGTTGCACAAGTCTCGCATGTTTTGCGGCGAGGCCATTCATTATATGCGGCAGCTCTCCGGAGTTGTAGTCAGGATGGGATCACAGAGCTCCACTCCAGGCCCGATCTCGTCCTCGGCGACCTTACGATCCAGGGCGGCTAAATATAGGAGTAGCGCGGTTTCAACGTTATACAGAAACAAAGGCCAGTTATAAAGCTGCAGCAATATTCAAATGAATAGCCAATTCGGACGACTTCGATGAATTTGCTGAGAAGTGACTATAACTTTGTAGTGAAGAAATCACATCGTCTTGTTTCCCTTCAACATAGAGGACCAACGAGCAGATCTTTTCGATTCTTCAAATCATTAGCTATGGATTCAATATGTCCCTAGACTTTGGCTTGTAGACTGGTTCTCTCGTTCTCTCACAATAATAATTAAATGTCCATTTCGATGTTGTTGTCGTGAATTAACGTGGAACCAGATGCATCACGTGATAGCGCGCCTGACGCGCGGCTAAGAAGAAGCGACATCAAGGGAAGATGGACATTCCAAATGATGGCGAAGGTATTGTTGAATGGCTTGCGGGCAATGGATAGCTACAAATCACGGACCCTGTGAGGCAGTTATATATCATATTTAATAGCCATAGAGAATATACCCCTCTTTGCAAATTTATGACAACATGGAACCAACATCCTCACGCGACACGCTCCCAATGTCATCAACGACCCTCAGTCGAGTGCGGCGGACGTTGACTGCACCCGAGCCATATATACCCCCATCCTCGGCTCATAGCATGGATGAACTTGCACTTCCATTCCCGTTTGAAGTTGCCGTCTCAAGATACCCGTCGCTGCACCAATCACCTGCCACAAACCGTAGGTCAATCACCACAGCTGCCCCGTCAAGCTACGTGGACACTGGGAGTCTGTGGGAAGTTCCAGACGACCAACCGAACCAGAAACCAACTGGCTATCAATTCCACAGTACCATCGAAACCATACCGGAAGAACATTACGAATTAGACACCGTTCTGGAGGGTCCGGAGCAGGATGTCGATCCGATATCAACCATCGAAGAAGCCCCTCAAAACTGTGAGAACATCTATGCCGAAGACGAAAATGCACTTCAACTTGATCATGGACCTGATCCTGCGATTGATGTTGAAGAAGCCCCCCGAATTCAAGATGATATAATTCAAGGGGATGAGAATATACATCCCATCGAACCTACACACACCTCGCCAGAGGGGGTTTCTCCATCGCAGCCGCAGAACGTCAGTATAGTTGAGCCCAAGAAGCGGTCTCTAAACCGGGCGAAGAAAAACCAGAAAAAGAAAGTGAAGAGAGGAAAGACTACATCGGCTGTCGTGCGGAAGACGGTTGAGTCCGATGTCGAAGATGATGTGATCTGGATAAATGAGGAGAAACCTAGGTCCGCTATTATAGATGATACAGACGCATCCGATGATATCCTCGATCTTAATGATAACGATAACCTGTTTACCCCGAATTCCCTAGCTCACGAGGCTGAGCTAGTTCCTAAGTCTCTTCCAAAGATCGAGGTACAAGTCCAAGTTCCTACGAACGTTGCTGATAAAAGCGGACAAGCCGGCCCAGCGCCCAAGAAGCGAGGAAGGAAGCGGAAAAAAACAGACCAGGAAGATATTTCTCACCAGAAATCACCGCCGCGGCCTGTCGAGTCAATAATTTCGGACGATTCCGTTGAAAACCGTAATAATAATATCATCCCTTCTGCAACCCCTCCACCACTTTCATCTCCAGCGATTGTCAACCAACAAACCCCTGAACCCAAGGCGGACAATCACAACCTTCATACATCCGTCGAAATCTCCGAAAGTTCCGTTGACAAGAAAATTGAACCCGCCCCGCCTGCTGAGACTCCAAAGAAGCCGACTGTCAAGGGCCCAGATAAACACAGTCCTATAGCTGTCACCGCCAAGGTTGCCTATCGTGTTGGTCTGAGTCGGAAAGCAAGGATTGCACCTTTGCTCAAAGTGGTCAGGAAGTGATGTCGCTTTGTCTCATTCTATTGCTCTCCATAATTCACGTTGTTGCTAACATCATATTGATACCCATTTGCATTTTAGATACACAAATAGTAAATTATCTCCTCAACAGTGGTTAGCCACCTTCTGTCACCTGTTGTATTTCTTGTTCTTGCTGTTTTTATGCATGAGCCACAAAAAATGTCCAACTCTACAGTAGACCATACGCGGCCGTTATTGCCTTTCCCTACGTACACTTGATAATTAAAGTACGATCTATTGCATTCACGGCGCTCTTAGCTAAAAATAAAAATGCACTATTTCAGCTCTGAACATAAGCCAAGGAAAAGAAAGATAACGGAAGGAGGTCTTCATAAAGACCGCTCGAGATGAACCCTCCTAGCAGAGCCCCAACGGGAAAAAAATATAGAAAACAAAAAATGGAGTCGTCTCTCCTTGCTGGAATCATTCTTCATGGCCCTTTTCGTCGCCTGAATGGTGTTCCGTGTCAGTGTTCTTATCATCGTCATGTCCAGCTGTGTCCTCGTTTTGATCCTTTTCCCCGTTCCCTTCCTTAGCTTTCTTGTTGTCTTCCATCTTCCCCAGCTTGTCTGCATCATCTTCAGCTTCCTTGCTGATGTGCGTGGGAGAATGATCAATATTTTTCTCAGACCCCTTTGTGTTTCCTTTGCCGAATTGAGCGTGTTTGTTGGAGTTCGAAGGTTCCTCAGAGCAAATGCCGCCGGTCTTCTGACAGCCTTTTCCGCAGTGACGAGGCTTGTTTCCGCAAATACCCAAAGCACTGCAGCAGCGACCGAACCTGGAACCAGTGCAAGTGTAACGTCTGCCACAAGTTCCATTAGGAGATGGACGCTTCACTGGCTTGGGTTTTTTGCCGCCCTTTGGTGGTTTGTCTCCACGGCCTTGGTCACCAGGGGTAGAAGTCCATCGATACCAGTTGGCTGGGGGATCCCCGAGGCATTCTCCAACAGTAACTGCACGATAGCCACTACCTTCAAGGCGACGAAGTATATGGTCTGTCAGGTTATAAACTGTCTGTCTGTGGACATCATGGCCAATTTCAAGTAGAGAGCGGCCACCTTTTGTTATGTAGGAGTCAAATATGTCTTTTGAGTTTTGAATCAAGTCCGGAGTGGCATTGTTGTAATCGTCAGTATCAAGGTTAAAGTACGTGACGTGATAACCTAGGTCGTCCATGTCTTTCAAACATCCAGACGCATCTGAGCAGCTCGAATACGGTGGTCGCATATACGTTGGAAAACCGCCTAAAATATTTCGCAAGGCCATTTCATTTTTTACCATCTGCATCTTTCTCTGAGAAGCTGAGATCTGATCAAGGTTCTGATGAGACCAAGTATGGCTGGCGATTTGGTGGCCGCTGTTATACATCCGACGAATCAAATCGGCCCAAGGGTAATTAGGGTCATCAATTGCACCTTTGCCTAAGTTGATTCCAGTAACAAAAAAAGTCGCCTTTACGTTAAACGAGTCAAGCATGTCAAGCAGGTCTTTGGTATAGGTATATGGTCCGTCGTCATATGTCAAGGCAATGGTGTTTGGAACGGTACAGTCGTAAATAGCCGCCTCGCCGTAGGGAACATCCCCAACCTTATCGCGGGTTACACCAGATGTATCTTCTCCACTCGGTGTTTTGTGGGCATCGCAGCCATTGCTATAATCAAGCATACAGTCTGGAGCAGCACAATATTCAGGTCCCTTTCCACAGTACCCTATACAGTCGCAAATTAGGCAGGAATATCGACACAGCAATATTACAGAACCGCTATGAATACTGCGTACCTGAAGAAGAACAGCAGAGGCCGTCCGGGCAGGATCCGGCATAAGGTCCACAGGTTGCGAAGGGGGCCCCTTGGTCGTCCGGCTCAGCATTATTACTCGTAGAAAACTCTCCTGGAGCGGGAAAAGGACGGGGAACTGAACCGAGGGGAAACGGAGGTCTCAACACAGGAGGCATACGGAGCCGGGCTGATCCGCCATAGTCGCCATTAACAACGGGAAGGAGAACAAATGGAATAAGATAGCGTAAGAAATGCATGGCTGACCATGTATAACAATACAAGTCAACGATGAAGTTTTCAGGATTATTTACTCAACAGCGGGACGGAAAAAATGATATATAGCTTCCTTTCATGCGACAGGAGCGTATCTAGTGATCGTCCGCAGTGATCGTCCGCTAGCACGGAGACGGTGGAAAAGCAGATTGCTTTATATTTGGGCATTGGAAACATAGCAAGGGAAAGACCGATCGTTGATAACAATAACAATAACAAATCAGCAGTCAAAAATGCTTGTAAACAGGAAAGAACAATGTACTGCAGTTCGAAAACTGCAACAACACATCTCACTGAGAAGTGGAAAGGGATGTCCCACAATCTAAGTTTTGCATTGATATTAATATTGTGTGACTTGGAAGAGCAGTGTGGTTCGTCTCGAAGATTTCGTGTATGACATCGGTGTAGAGTGCCATGCAAATGGAGGAGGAGTATTGGTGTTCCATTCTAATTGAGCCCAGCTAGCTCTTTGTACTCCGTTGAATGGGAGAATGGGAGAACTGGGGTGTCGTTGGACCGCTGGACAGTAACCCTAGGAAGCGGAGAATATCTGGCAGGATAGTTAGCTGTAGAATCAATAACGACGGGGATGGGAAGACTTATAAAAAAAAATATATTGGCCTCCGCCCCCCGCCAAACAAGGCAGAGGCGGAGGCCTATTCAACCAGCAATGTCGACTGTAAAAGAAGTCTACCGCGCCACCCCCCAAAACTGTGAAAATCCTCTGTTCATCGCATGACCCTCATGACAAACTAACACCATAATGTTTCACCAAGTCTTCCCGTTACTCCGTCTTTAGACCCCAAGCACCATTGGGATAGTTGCACTAAGTCAGATAGTCGAAAATTCGAAACATTCAAGGCTGGGCATGCATCAGATTAGCCAAGCCAAGGCTTTGATCCTCACTCGAGAGAGGTCCCTCTCTGTGCATGGACTCCCCAGCCATCAATGGATCTCTTTAAACGGACCGTCGATTGCATCGTTCCAACATATCCTGTATATGGCACTTTCCTGGGTCGTCAGATGTGAAGCGCAGTTCCGAGAAACTCTCACATACAGGGTTGTTTTATCCAAGTAAAAGCACCTCCCTCTTAGGGTATCGATGGAACAGAAAACAAAACAGTAATGGGAAGAAGCGCTGCGACCTGCCCATAGCCCTTGACAAAGCTTCAAGTTGAATAAAATCCACTGCCCATATAGCTCCACTATCTAGCATGCACCAAGGAAACCCACTTAAGCAACTGGTCATCCAAAGCTTGAGCCTCTCATCCTGCTTTCGCCCACTGGACCCAATGCGGACTTCTCATCTCCTAAAATCTAGTTGGGTAGATTAAACCGTGCTTCCCAAATTCTGTGTTCCGTGAGTGTAACACAGTGCCCTCGGAGACAAGTTTTGTTTCCTCTCCTGCATACACTAAGTGATGAAGGCGAGAACGAAGAATCGAACAAAACATCTGTAAAAATCGATTCACTTCCCTAGTGGGAAATGGGCATCTAGAAGAGAACTCCCAGATACGGTAACCGGCGTTCTCTAATCCAATGGGCTATACCCACGAGAAAATAAGATTAACGCGGTGGAGAGATCCAATAGCATGCACACATTGGCGAGTGCCGTGGTGCAAGACCAGTGAACGAGCTTCTGCCACTAGGGCTGTGTGATCCATCGGAAAAGGTTGGAAGAGAGGTGACAAACCCCGAAGGTTTTGGATGTTGGGGTACATGCGGGACGGCCAATCAGTCTCAACGGAAAGTATGCATCAAATTCATAACCCCCAGTGCCCCAAATCCTTGACTGTAATTGCCGCCCTTCCCATGTTGGAAACAAAGATGCCCAGATAAGCCTAAGCATGCCATGTTAAAATGATTTATCACAAGATGGATGGATGGGTTAACTTGCTACAACTGCCCGTGTAAGCAGCCCAGCTGATTCCGGCATACGATAGCCCAAAAATCCAGTGCGAATAATCGTATGTAGGCGAACTTGAGAATAAAGTACCTGCTTGGCTCTAGAACAATCTTTGTCAAGCCAACAAATGGGATGGGCAGTACAACAAGAGTCCAAGGATGGTTTGAAGAATCTCTTTTCGTGTCCTGACGTGCTGGGCTCCCGAAGACAATCCACTTTTCAATGATTGCCCGATGCGCCCTGCCTCTCTTCTCCCATTCGGCTCTGGATTTTGCAGGTATCAAACCGGTGATCTTATTATCCTCCATTCATATCCAGCTAAGATAAACTGACGCGTACTCCAACAAGGAATTAAACGCATAGTAAACCGTCTTTTAAATGCTTCATGGGAAGCTCCGGACACCAGGATCTTTTTATACCACCGACAAAATGCAAGCGATACATTCGAAAGCCTGGTTGTTATAGCCGCGAACTTGCTGTCGATATACCCTGGACGGTCCAGGAACGACGCCCGGTTTTTACCATAGGGTTAAGTCCCAAACACGCCCACACCAACTATCAGAAATGGATGGAAAATACAACATTTCCCACGCCTTAGATCCAAAAGCAGCTGCAGGCGTAGAATGGTAAACTATGAGGAGGTTGAACTGGTAAAATATGACGGAAACAGAGATGTGAGAGCGGGCGGCTTGGTTCATTGGAGAAACAATATAGAAGACTGACATAGTGGTCCAGTGAGGAGGCGATTGCTCTGGAATGCGAGGGAATGGCTGTTAGAAGGCCAAGAGTCACTCGTGGTGTATCCGAGCAGCAGTGCTTTGATGTTGATTGACGATTGACAACGCCCCTCGAGTGTAAACAAAGATATGATTTGGCGCGTCTGGACAAACTCGCTAACTAGTTATCACGTGATGAGAAGTCGCGGGTGGCGTCAACGGCACGTGAGCGCTTAACTAACGAGCTACTTCCTCCTACCTATCTTTTTTCATTTCTCTCACTTTAGTTGACAAACATACAACAAGGATATCAAACTATGTCCCAGAGAAAAGTCTACAGCATGTAAATAAATGGGAAATTCTACGGGTATTGAAGCAGCTTTCGAAGCTGTTGCTTTGTTTTTGCGACCGGTTTTGACAAAAGGCACGCCTATCTTGATTGATCCCCCAACTAATTTAATCAACGATGCGGCTAATAAATTTAAAAGAGCAAATCAAGAAGAACCCGGGTCTTTCACTAGTAGATTCTTTAATAAAAAGTTTACCTGAAAATTATGAGACCAGCAGGTCTTCCAGAGAAAGGGTAATACGGCGAAGCCTCGACCTTTTGACAGACATCTACCAATCATTCATCCAATTAGGGCACACCCAAAATTTTTTGGATGACCATACCACTGGCCTTGAAGATGCAAAACGGAGGAGGATTCTTCATACTCTCCTTGATCTTATCTCTCTAGAGGGAATATATCCGTCGCTTTCTGCGGGTGCTGGAATTCCCCTAGAAAAGAGAGTAATCTCTAGCCTCCCAACGGGTGTAGTGGCTAGGCAAGATGGGTCGGAAGAAAGAACATCCCCCCGAACGGAGGCCTTCCTCCTTTATATACTCAAGTCATTGCGAGAGATACTTCAGGACAATCATTCCTCGCTCCAATCTATCATAATGGGGAGGCTGCTCTCGGACCTAATTTCAGCAGCCGCCGAGCTATCTTTCCATTCCCAATACCTCGCCCAACCGGATCTTGAATGTTGTAATTCTATGTTCTGGAAGATTATTGAGGAGTAAGAAAAGCCATATTCTAACTACTTCCAAGTTACTTCCAAGTAATAATGCCTCTCTAACATCGACATAGCACTCCGACCCCTCTTCTGCTCCCAGTACTTACCTCCTTTCTACAGCCAACCTCTGCTCCCTGGCTCAAAGATCCAATTTCGTCAGCTCTGTCAAGTATACCCCTTCGGAAGGAAGGTGTTTTTCAAACCATTACCTTTCTCGCATCTCAGTTTGCCCCTGAGACCTCATCAACTTCGCAGCAGATTAATGGACCTCCGATCACTGCCCAAGCGATTATGCAGTCCTCTAGGATCCTTTCGAGTATACCCCGTGGGATATCCCCGGAAACTTTCTTAACAAATGTCGGGCCAAAGCTTCTGTCCCTTCTTGATGGAGATGATATGGATCTAAGAAAGACAGCATCGTACATAATAGGAAATGGCATCTTGCCAAAGCGCTCTATTGGTGCCCCAGGTACGATCGGCTTTGAAATATTTGTCAAGCCTATCTTTGACACATTTCATGGAAAGACCGACGATACATCCACCTCGTGGTTACGCAAGTTCAATCGGGATGGTTCTCCAGCTTCCGCGGAAAATGATAGCCATACAGACGGCCGCGCCAACGTCAATACCCACCAACTGTCCCTGGCTTTATCTCGCCTGACATCCTTGGTCATTCTGCATCCTAACCCTGCTCTGCTCAAGCGGCTAATCGGACCCATAATGCTCCCTCTATGGGGCCTACATTGGCACGCGAAGTCTCTCAAAAATCATAAGTGGGCTGACCATACATTTATGCTCTTACAGAATTTTTTCAGTATTTCTTCTACCAAATCTAGATTTGAGTGCTTGGTCGAAAACATGATGTGGGATGGCGAGGCAACGTGGACCTACAAGCATTCTCTAAGCCATGATATATTTGTAGGGAAGCGCGAATCCTCAAACCTGGAGCATACTGATATAATGCAAATCATTGAGAACGTCGATCAGCGGGCTGATTTACTTGTCACTTTTCTTGGAGTCGATCCGCAGCGAGAAACGCAAATTGGAGACGTTTTTCTTTTGGTTACAAGCAAATGGCTTCTTGGAGGAACAGGAATCCCCGAGAACCAACCCTTGATATCCCCAGATGATATACATCTAGGTCTACAGAAAGTGGTGTATACCAAAATTGCTGAAAAGATCATCAGCCAATTTCAGGACATTCTATGTCGTCGATTGGATCAAATAGTGAAACTGGTCAATCAACTTATTGACCACGAAATACATCTGGTCACGAATAGGGACAAGAAAGAAACTGCTAAACCTTCTTTAGAGTCACTAGGAAACATTTCAAGAAATCATGACAATGGATCTGATGTTCATCCTTCAGACTCCGCTGAATCACCGGAGCCGCTGTCTGCTGCGCTCAGCTTACTCTCTACGCTGCTGCTATCTTCAGACTTGGACCCCGGCGATGAAATACGAACATTACTATCGGAGACAAAGCTTAAAATAGATCGAGTGCTGCCTTTTGTTTCTCAGACAGTTAAGCACCCAGCAACGGCATTATCCGTTCACATCGACTTTATCGTCAGTGGATATCTACCCCAGGAAAGAAGAGAAATTGTCTCTGTGGTTAATCAGCAGCACATAAATGACATAGAGATGCACCGACAAGCTCTTGCGAACTTGAACTCACCGTTACCTCCAGTCCAAGCCGAAGGGCTGTCCATACTATCTGGATTAATAAAGAAGTCTTCGCCAGTTCTTGACATCCCGGCTACTCTCACCCTTCTAATATCCCTAATTATCAGAGGTGAGGGAAATGGGAAAGATGACGAGTTTGTCTACCTAAATGTGATCTCTCATATCGGCGTTCTTGCCTCAAAGCATCCTCGCACGGTTATAACAACCCTGTCTGAGCGATATAGGGATAGTAGTGAAGAAGCTTCATTGGACGAGAGGCTCCGCATCGGCGAAGCTATTCTCAGGGCCGTCGAGGAAATAGGAGGTGCTCTAGTAGGCGAAACAGCCACGATCTTAGGCGATACAATGGTAGAGGTGGCTAGCAGACGAGGGAAAAAACCAAAGGCTAAGGAGAAAAGGTTAGCAGACGCGAAATGTGAAGAATTGGAAAGAGGCAAAACCGATGATGCAGAAGACCTGGTAGCCGAAGCTGCGGATATTATAAACCAATTGGACCAAGATACAGACTCAGAGCCGGAAGACCCTGCGAAATCCGCCTATTTGAATAAAATTCTCCAAGCATGGACTTCAGGGGCAGCCTCGGATGAGCAACCAGATGATCTACGTGCTCGTGCATCGGCCATATCCATTCTTGCATCTGCCATTCAGACAAATATTGCTGGTATAGGACAGCGAATAGTATCCACCTCCATGGACCTGGCACTTTCTACACTGACGCTAGAAACAGGGCCTGAAAACGCAATTATCCGCCGTGCGTCTACTATACTCATGCTTGACATCACAAAGGCATTAGACAACGCCATGGAGCAAGGTATAGACTTGGGGTTCAGCTTTTCGCATACTACTTCCAGCTACAGTCTTTCTTCTATTAACGTGAACGCGATTGGAAATATTCCAGATATCCTCCATGTCCTAGCCTTTGTGGAGAGTAAAGAAACTGATGTTCTTGTCCGCGGTAATGTACGAGCATTAACCGAGAGTTTAGAGGCATGGACCGAAAAAGCGATCCTGCGTGGTGTTGGAGCCAGTGCTCAGCCTCGATTTGAACTTGGTGATAGAATTGCTGGGCTGGATATTGCACCTGTTGCTGGTGCATCGGATACCGGGGGCCGTCCACGGATTGAGGAAATTGAGTAATGTAAAACGACATAAGGCCGCTTTTCAGATTATAGTTATCTGAACAGTGAATATTGAATATCGTTAATCTCAAATTGTTATTTTTCAGTTCCATTCGACTAACTAACTACCTGATTCCATGCACCTGACTTTTCTCCTTTTCTCCTTTTTTTGGTTTTTTCTTTTTTTTCCCGTTTAACTAAAATACAATGTGGGAACTGTTCGTCCGCCATGAAGACCCGGGCGATTTCCTTTCCATGACTCCGGCGTTGGGCAACATAGCTCATGATATTTATCTGTGCCAATAAAGGTCAAAAAACATGCAATTAACAAAAGAAAATGTGAAATCTGGAGGCTGAAGAGAGTCATTGCTGTTTATCACCGTCGGCTGAATTTGATTCCTGGTAAATGGTGGAGGTGAAAGCAAGGTGAATAAAAGAATGATAGTATCAACAGCCAATATGATGCAACCAAATGAAACAAAAAGTCCTGTGGTTGAATATGTTGCTTGATGCAGAGAACAAAACAGCCTTCGGTCTGACTGAGTCTGATAGGATCCCAATAGGAATGTAATTGTGTAGAAAAGTCGTCTTAATGGTGGCTTCTAGTATGTCCACCGCGGCCACCATGTCCGCTTCTGCCACGACCGCGACCGCGACCGCCACGATTGCCACGGCCGCCACGGCCACCGTGTCCACCGAGACGGAAGATGCCTCCTTTGTTAGATTCATTTGCCGCCTTTAAAGCCTCATTCTGGGATTGACGTTGTTCATCAGACATGGCAAAGGCGTTCTCAATACCAATTAGTTTGCAAAACTCCTCAGTCTGTGGGTTTTGGTATTCAGGAGGCTGTTCCTGGGTGCTAACTGGAACAGAAGGGTCATAAACGGGAGCAGTGATGGTGAAGTTGTATGGAATGACCATCTTCCCGGCCTTAACAACGTTCTCTTCGATCCACTCCTCAGCGGCAATGATGTCAGGTTTATACCCGACATCACCTTTGTTAGAGGGGACGGAGGCAGCTTTGTCACCAACGGTGAATCCTGGATGCAGAGCGCGGGTGATGGCAAGCCATTCTTTATCGTACATCAGCTGGTAAGGGCCAGTGTTACCAACTCCATCGTCCTTGGAGACGGGCTTAACCTCAGTAAGGTGTAAGAAATGACGGCGACCTTCACACTTGTCCAATGCAAGGAATTCAGTGGTAGTATTGGTGATTTCCGCTGGGAGAGTGGATTCAACAATTGGCTTAGGCCCAGACGTAACTGGGGAAGGCTTGGCAAAGCTGGCTGGCAGCTGGCTACGAATGTCATCAGGAACGGAGTCAACATTCTTAGCATCATTGGTAGCTGCTCTCTTAGCCTCGGATCTCTCAGGCTCAGGCTCAGGTGCTTTTTCGTTGGCAACTTTCTCGCAAGGCTCAATCTCAGCTCCTGCAGGAATATTGGCCTTGGGCTCATCGTCCTCAGACCCATCATCCATGTCTAGATTGATTTCGTCGGTATTCTTGACCTGAACAACTTCGGAACTCTCAGCGGCTTTTTTGCCTTCTTTGTCAATGGACGTCGTAATAACGTCTTGAACCTCACGACCAGTTCCATCATCAACACCAACTTTCTTCCACTTCAGCTGGTAGGTAATGTCACTACCAGAAGTGATGTCTCCAACTTCCACTTGCTTGTGGTATTTTGCAACCTCTCTCATGAATATTTCCTGCTCGTCTTGCTCAGTAGAAGCAGCAACTTGGTGGAAATCACGCCAAGCGTTTTTCTTTGCGGTCTCATCCTGTGCAACCTCCTGGATTGGACCTAACTTTGGCTCAGAAACATCCTTGGGATGATCAGAGACGGTATTTGCTTTTTCGGCAAGGACAGATGGAGAGGGCACAGGAGGCTTGACGAAAGATTGTTCAGATTCGTTGAAGCGGATAAGTACCTGTGGGGGTTGGTATTCCTGGTGATGCAAAGTGGCAGTATACTTGCAGTGCAGGTGAGCAGAGAACCAGTGAGCTGGTCTAAGTCTGTCAAGCACCTGCTTGGCTGCAACATTACCGAGCTTGCCGGTCTCGGAATCCTCCATGAGGTGTTCTTTGATTCTGAAAAGATGATCATAGTCTCCAGCCCATTCAATGCCACGAGGCCAATCGTGGCTGATGCCAATGTCGACCTGTGTACGAATCTGCAGCAGTTTGCGGACATCAACCTCTCTAATGTGGTAAGCTGAGCGTAGCGTGTCACCATCGTAAGGGATTCTCTCATAATGGGGACGATGATAGTCATAGCCCTTCCAAATACCAGACATGCCCAAGATGCGTAAAGGTCCGTAGCGGACCAAGTTAGCTGCTCCCATGTAGTAAATGTTTGGAGCAACCCAGCCACCATAGTAGAGCTCGAACATATGGTTGCTAGCCTCATGGTTGCCTCCCACAAAGATAGTTAGGATAGGGGCAACGCGAGCACCGCTGTAGTATTCATGGAAGTCTCCAATCTCCCTATACTTGTTTGAAACTGCCATGCAAGTAAGGTCATTGGAGTTTCTCACGGCCTATAATATACCAGAGTGAGCATGATGTTAACTACTATTAGGGACACAGCCACACACAGGCAGCCTGATATAGTAGTTAGAGAAACGCGTAGATAGAGTCTTACCTGGAAGTCACCCCCAATAATAAGCAGGTCAACGCTATTCCATCCGCGAGCCTCAGCTGAAGCCTGGACAGCCGCGTAGATATCATGTAGTTTTCCATGCCCCTAGTAAATAGACAGTTAGCAGATGATGCTGTTTTCTGTGCATCTAATATATAATATAAATAACTAGCAAACTAGGGAAAAGGGTAGCATACGCATCCTTCAACAGCCACTCTAAGCGGGCGGCGTGTCTCTGGTGTCTCTGGCATTGCTACCACGTCTGCCATGTTTAAGGTATCTCGTATGCAGAAGCGGTATAACAGATTCACGCCTATCCAGCGCGGTTGTTAGTATACAACTGTTTGAGACCAGTTGCTTGTGAAGAGGAAAAGGAAAAGAGAAAGAAAGAAAAAAAAGAGGAAGAAGAAGAAGAAGAAAGGGACAGGACAGGAAAAGAGTGAAAGGAGGAAAGTGAACGCGCGTCTCTTCACTTTGTTTTGTGTGTTGTTGTCTTCGCTTCACTTTTTCACCTTTTCTGCGTTGCTAGGGAAGTTGACGTTGTTTTTGCCTTTTTGGGATTAAAACGGCATTTTTCCTAATGATTTTGATATCTTCGACTTTTCTACCAACAACTCTAGGTTGAATTTGTATAATTATATAACTACTCCGTACGATAACACGAGATTGAAAATACTCATAGATACCTGCTTGTCCTCATTCCTTGTGTTTTGACCAAGAACATGTCTCAGCCAGCTCCTGCAAGACTGGATTTTTTGAAGGCATCTGCCCGTCTGCTCAGCCAGCAGAGCCCTTCGACTTCAGCGCATCTGATGACGATGCATAATAGCATAGTGCTCCATGATAAGTCGTCTCGTCTCCCCGTGAAAGACCAGATGGAAGCCTGTCCATCGTGTGGGAGCGTCCGGATTCCGGGGGTGAACAGCAGAGTCTTCACCAGAACTCAGACCCCTCCCAAAACTGCTCGAAATGTGCATAAGTCACGGCCAAAAGAGCCATCCCAGGACGCGAGTCAGTGTCAATCGGTGCAGAAATGTCTCATATACGAGTGTCTACGGTGTAGGCATGAAGTGGTCCAACGCATCCCGCAACCTGCGAGACCCATCCAGAGGAAGAGGAAGTCTCCAACCGCGACCGAAACCTCATCCTCAACCAGCCAAAAAATACCTCTAAGAGCTGCTAAGAATCCTGCTGAGAAGCTAGAGTCTGGATCTGCGACCTCAAAGACAGATTCCGAGAATTCCAGCAGCAAAAAGCGAGCAAAGATGCGAAAGCAGAAGGGCCTGTTGGCCAGCCTGGCCACTCAGAAGCAGACCAAGCCCTCAGGCTCACTAGATCTTTTGGATTTCCTTCAATCGTCGTAGTTGGAGGCGTGGTTACATCACTAGAAGCGAGAAGTTATCGGCTTCTGTTTGAGCATACCGCAGATGCTACTTGGTTATGACCAACTTCGCTCTTACCGTCGCTGATGCCGTTCAGAGGCGATTCACTGAGAGCTACAGTCACAAAGTCACAACGACCCAGACATGGTCAAACTAAGACTACGAATGTAAAGGAGTACGTTATATTCCCTTTGAGTATTTGACCGTCAAGCCCCTAGACTAACTGAGCAGTTAGTTATTTCACTGAGCAGCAGCGCTAGCTTTGGCCCACGGCGGCATTTGCTATAGTGGGCTGCCCGGGAAAGAGCAATGGGCTTCGGATAGCAGCATCATATCAAAAGTGGCAAGAACAAGTCTCTCGCTGTCTGTGTTTATCCTCCGACTGCTATATATCGCCCCCGTCCTGAGTCCAGGTCAACGCCGTCCGCTCTCCTTTTCAGGATCTCCGACTTCGTCTCAACCTTCTTTGAGGCTCAAAAAGATCGAAATAAACTCAAGATTTTTTCCTTTTGTGGGTCACCGAACGATTACTCATGAAGTTAAAAATATTCATGACATATTCAATTTTTTAATTTTTTTTTTTTGTTATCGAAATAAGCGACCGGCAAGATATATAAAGCAGACATTTTGACCCCAGGTTTACCGGTTGATACTCTAGAGTAAGAAACTGTGTTGACTTTACTACTACCATTTTTTTCCCCGCAAACCTGACTACTACGAGAACCAAACACACCAAAGCGACTCCTCCACGATAAAGGCAAAGATGGCCAGCGGGGATAACAACGCCATGCCCCGCGCTGACGAAGAGACCATGAAGGTCGTCCAGAATGACGATGACCTGGGGCTTGTCGACGTAGAGAGCATGTGTATGAATTGCCATGACAATGTAAGTGGCCAGATCGTTGCCTATCTTTCTTAGGAAATTGTACTTCTAACCAGTGAAACCGCGTTTACAGGGTTCTACCAAATTCCTCCTGATCAAGATCCCCTTCTTCCGCGACGTCCTCCTTGAATCATTCGAGTGTCCTCACTGCGGCTACAAGAATAATTCTATCAAAGCTGCTGGAGAGATCCAGGAGCATGGCACCAAGTACACCCTGGAGATCCATGACAAACGCGACTTCGACCGCCAGGTCGTCAAGGGTGATAGCTCGGTCTTTCGCCTCGAAACCCTTGGAATAGAAATGCCAACTGGTGAGGGGCAGCTTACCAATATCGAAGGTCTGCTCACCAAGATCCAGACCCAGCTCGAAAGCGAACAACCACTGCGCAAAACTGCCGACCCGGCCACCTACCAGGCGCTCGATGAAATCCTCCAGAAGCTTGCTAAGATGATCAACGGCGAATCGTTCCCATTCACAGTGACCTTGGAAGACACCACTGGCAACTCTTGGATCGCTCCTGCGCCTTACGATGAGGGTACCAGATACAAGCGAAAGGAATTCCAGCGTACCAAGGAGCAGAATGAGGCCCTCGGCATTGGCATAGGCGAAGAGGATCAGGCCGGTCAGATGTCAGGAGACCCCAACGACCTTGACATTGTCGACGGAGATGTGTACTCTCTCCCCACCCACTGTCCTGGTTGCGCGAAAGCTTGTGTTGTCAACATGCAGAAGGTTAGCATCCCTTATTTCAAGGAAGTGTTCATATGGAGCACTGTCTGCGACCATTGTGGCTACCGCACGAGCGACGTCAAGACTGGAGGTGCCATTCCTGATAAGGGAAAGCGAATTAAGCTGAAAGTGGAGTCCATCGAAGACCTGTCTCGAGATATTCTCAAATCTGAGACTTGTGTCCTGAAGAGCGACGACCTTGGTCTCTCTGTCCAACCTGGCACACTTGGCGGCAGATTCACTACCGTCGAGGGACTGCTTACCCAAATTCGTGACCAGCTGCACGAGCAGATCTTCGACTTTGGCGATGAAGACCTGGCTCCAGGTGATTCCATGCCTGTACCAGAGAAGGATCGATGGCAGCAATTCTTTGACAAGCTCGACGCCGCTATTAAAGGAGAGCAAAAATTTTCTATCACCCTCGAAGATCCCTGTGCAAACAGCTATGTTCAGAATCTTTTCGTACCAGAACCAGACCCACAACTGGAGGAGGAAGAATATACCCGCACCGAAGAAGAGGAAGAAGATCTCGGTCTTAAGGACATGAAGACTGAGGGGTATGAAGAAGAGCATAGACTCGCGCAAGAAGCGGAGAAGGCAGCAAAGGCAGCAGAGGAAGCAGCTTGATTTTTTCATCAAAAGTAGGCGCATACATCGGAGTGTTGTTTTATTTCTTAATCAGTTTTCTTTTTTTTTTTTTTTTTTTTTTTTTTTTAACGAGACACGCGGCAAATGACGGGCAGCGCTTGATTTTCAGAGACCTACTTTTCATAGTATAGAATCGGGGGATCGAAAAGCTATCTTATTTTTTTTTTTTTTTTTTTCTCCTCTCTCTCTCTGATGTTGGTCACTCTTCTTTGACCAGCCTGGCGGCTATCATTGTCCTTTTTACAGAAACTTGCTGAGGTCTCTGACTTCTGATAAGAGGTCACTCTAGAGGTATAATGCAATCGACCAGTTCAGAAAATCTCCTTTGAGTCAAATGAGCCCGTGAAAATTCCTTAAGTAATCGGATGTCAAATCTGCTGGTAGGAGCCCTTGTCAGAAATAATTCTCCGTGTTAGTGTTTGAATGTACTGCCATGGGTCGATGTCGTGGTCTCTGCAATTCCTCCACCTTTTGCAGATGCCGACGAATTGACCCCTGGTGATGCTCTTTAACTAACAACTAGGATGGCCTAGGTAGTATTTAATGAGAGCGCGCGAGAGGACAAAATTATCCTTGCGTACTTGTTTATTTGCATTGGATAATGTCCAAGTCCTATCAGCGAGCAAAGGGATTTGCATGGATAGTGACTCTATCGATACCGATCTTCTCCCATGCTTGGGTATTATCACTCTCAGACTTGTCCTTAATCGACTCCGGCTGCACAACTCTTCCTTTCTTATCTATCTTCACATGGGCCTTTTCAAGACGGGTAAGTGTATCGACCTGCTCGCCCTCTTCACCGGTCCTACCTGGATCTAGCACTTTACCAAACACGGTGCTCTTCCCATCCAAGTGAGGGGCGGCCGCAAAGGTAATAAAGAATTGACTGCCATTTATATCCTGAGGCACTGCACCTCCGGCACCGCCTTGGTTCTTAACCGGTTTCCCTGCCATGCTGAGTATCCCTCTTGCATTGTGGCGGAGGGTGGGGAGGTGAATCTCCTGCTCTAGTGGAGCTGGGTGGTATATAGAAGCTCCTCCCTTTGGAATGTCAAACGGTAGAGGAGACGACGAGGAGGCCTTGTTCGCTGCAGAGAGGGATATGTCACCTCCTTGGATCATGAATGAGGGCATGAGACGGTGGAACGGGGTTTCATTGTACGCTCCGGAGGCGCAAAGAGCAAGAAAGTTCTAAGATAATCACTTAGTTAGCTTGAAATAATGTCCATAGGGGTGTAAAACTTCCTTACCTCTGCGGTCTTTGGCACAGCTTCACAAAATATCTCGACCTTGAGGTCTCCATGGGTAGTGTGTAGCTATCAAGGAGAGTAACGGGTTCCTGGTCAGCACTGCAAGAAACAAATTGGCACTGAACAGAGCACAGGGCATGCTCACCGTAACTGACATCCTCGCCAGCCCTCTTCTCTTCCCTCTATGCCTTCTTTCTCGTCTCGCTGCAGCGTCTTCGGCTTCCCACAACGTCTTCAACCGCAACTTTCAACCTGCCAAAAAAGAGCCGCATGGACATCACGTGATATCACCAACTTGGAACCTAAAAACATCCCTCTGGACTGAAAGAAGAAAAGAAAAGAACGAAAAACAAACGAGATATCAAGGTTGAAGGGCAGCATACGAAGCGCGAAGAGGAGGTGAAGAAGACTCTACAGCACGGAGCGGCTCGAGAGAGGCGCTGGGCTGGTCGATACAACAAATCCGACCTCCCAAACACCGTAATACATGCCAGTCCTTATCACGAACTAACCAACTAGATCACCCAAATAACGAACTGCAGACGAGCGAGACGAACAGAATAACCCTCTTCATGACGAAACGACATATCTCCTAAGAAAGCGAGGCTCAAGTGACGAGGCTGTCGAGTTTAAGCACCACCATCGAAACCAGGAGTCGCCGTTGACCAGGCCCCTACCCTTGCCCTGGCTGTTCTCCCTCCGTCCGTCGACCTGCCTTATCGCAAGCCGGTGAACAAACAATAGAAAGCAATAGAAAAAGTCAACACGAGCTGCAGGAGCCCATGCTGGGGAAACTGGGGTCGGTCGTCTCCCGGCGGTTAATAGTTATTTAGCTGACGAGCAACCCCCTAGGCTCGCAGAGCACATATCAAGTTTGTCGATATAGCAGGGAATAATATCAACACAACCCCCAAACGAGCCGCCATTAGTTTACTACGCTCGTACTGAAATCCACTATCAGTAGCTTCCTGCCTTCTTTTTCTTTTGCTTCGCCGCTAAGCAACCATCCGCCAGCATCTTTGCGCCAGCCTGGACCAGCAAAAAGCTCGAACTCCAAGGCCACACTTGCATTCGCGAACATTCCTCCACCTCGATCTACCGTGACGCTAGTTAACTAGCTGCCTAAGTCGTTAGTTAAACACCCTCAAGTTCCTCGTTGGTGCGGCGTTGATAAGGGACGGACACACGCAGGATATTACCGGGAACAAGCTCATGCATGAGACGCCCCAGGGCACCTTACCTGTGGCGAACAAAAGCGGGATACTAGAGGTCTCGACTTCCAACAACACTCCCCAATCGACCCATGGTGGACGGGGCGCGCAGTTTGGCACAAGATGGCCGCATTCGTGCGAGTGTCGGGGCCTCCCAATAGTAACTTCCTCGTCGGGTACCCTGGAATCTCAGCAACTCTGGTGAGTTTTTTACGTCCCTGAACCAGTTCCACGATTTCGATGCACACCTACATAGCTTTGACGCAATCTTATATTTTTTGGCCTTGCAGGCCTGATTTGCTACGAGAAGGAATACTAACACAGCATGGATAGCCACGTATCGAAGGAAAGGTTGAAGTGCGACCCAGTGTCGGGGTCTCAGCCGCAGTCAATATCTCCATGGTCACAATATGCCTCCAGCGAAGGGAGACGATACATCCCGCGGCCGATTCAATGACGAAGAGACACTTGGCTGCCCCGCGAAAGGACGTGACGGACATCGTGGGCAAGGAGATGCTCCTCTTTCGATGCCCCATGGGGCGAGAGTACGAAGAAATAATAGCTATGGACCTCCCCTTTGTCCTTTTCATACCATTCGGTAGAGGCGGACAGGAAACCTCGAGACGGCTACCACCCGCGAGCTTGCAACTGGGCAGCCGAACTGCTGAGACATACTACGAATTAGTCGTGATGGTGCAACAGGGCCAGGCAGAGCAGAGAAAGTACTCCTTCCCTGTCCCTATGTCAAGATACGATACCTTATCCACGTTTGGCATGTACAATCGACCGGAAGCGGCAGAGCGTGTGTCAGATCATCTTATCACTCTCGGTATATCGTTACCTCGATGGTCATATGGGCCTTTCGATCCTGTCAGTGTATATGTGAAGCTGTCGCCCAACCCGGACTGGATGAGCAAGGCTCGCAAAGTGACAATACAGAAAATTACCCTTTCAATTGACGAGGAGATAGTCTACAACCACGAAGGCGACGAACCTGTCCGCAAGGGGAAAACACTCGCCAAGCGATCGGAGTCAGTCAATCTAAAGATGCCCGAAGCCGGATACCTCACCAACCTCGGCCTCGTTTTCCCTGCAAGAGACTTGCGCGATTCAGAAGGCGTGCTACCACGAGGAAAACCAGCATTCCCAAGTTATGCCGTTAGCGCGTTTACAACCACCGCCTCTCTGTATAAAATAGAATATTATTTGACAGTCAAGGTATGTTACTTAAATCCTATGCCTCTTCTCCATGGTAACATATTTTGACATGAATCCTACAGGCCCATCTCACATCAGCGAAGGACATAGTCCTAAGACAACCCATTGTTGTCTGTCCTCTAGACCACGCTGGTTGCAAGGAGGAAATGGAGGCCATTGAGCAGGCTGCGCGCGAGGCGAGAAACATCAATCCCGACAATCCCATGCTTCCACTACCAACTATCGTCCGCGCCAGTGATCCCAACGCCCTTCGCTATCTCAACGTCGCAATCGTGGGAAATACCAAGAAACCTATAATAGAATAAATAAATCCCGTCCTCCCCTCTACCACCCTCGCCATGCCCGAGGGTTTACGGCCCTCTCCCACCTCACGACTAACGATGGCTATTAACGAATCTTTATTTTGTCTCCTCAAAAAACCAGCTGGCGCTGGGGGACTAGTAAAATTGCATTATTGCATGGGATATAGGCGTCAGAATGGTCGGATGATTTCGCGGTTATCATTTCATACTAAGTATAGCTGCATACTTGCCATTCGATTGGTTCAGCGAGCTGCGTCGGTTCATACTGCAGGAGAAGCACATGAACAAAAACAAATCGAAAAGCAAGGATATCTTCTGACCGGAGTGTCATTTGAGACCATCTAACGATTTTGACATCTGCAAATGCAGCTACCGAGGCCCTAACCCTACCGCGAACCGGAAATACTACGCTCCCTCACATCTCTCACGGCATGGCATACCTGTATCTTGCTTTCATTTACTTACAGAATAGCCATGATTTATCTTATCCTAGCTACTTTTAGCTTTGGTTTTGGCTAAGCTTTCAACGGGATGAGTATTCCTGAGGCCCCAGTTCAGCTTCGCCATTATTACCATTTTCTGGGAAATATCTTATGGGAGCTGGTTACTTTCATCTGGAGTAAGTGACGAGGCTACTCTGGTTTTTATTTTCATTCCAACATCTCCCGGGCTAGATATCTCCGGCACCTATATCACACTTCTCGAACAAAAATTTCCCTGGCGATGTATGGACTATCTACAAACGACTACCTACAAATGGTACCTGGTCTTTTACATGATCCTTGATGAGCTATGGTTTGCTCCATCTATGTCAAGTCATCCGGGTTCAGTTCTACATAACATTCTCTAGCATCTTCAAATGTATGCTGCCTTGCGCGCAATGCATATCCTCTGATCCTCCTCATTGACTTCAAGTATTTACTGACCATATACTGCTGTTCTTCCATTTTTTTTTTTTTTTCAGCCGTGGGTTTCCCTTTCTCCTTTTCTAATATTTATCTTCATTCTATCGAACGTATTGTAAGAGCTTTGTTTTATCTCCCATCCGAGGTAGTGGTCAATAGATGAATGCAATGATATCACCAAGCCGAATCAATGTTGTCAAAAAAAGTCCTGGCCGTTTCCAAAATTCTGTCGCACGGTATCAGATTTTCAATTCTCTCTCTAATAGAAGGATGAGATTCTCGACATGCGAAGTGTCGTTCTTGCGTCCAGCCAACTTCTGCTTTTCCAGGTGTGCAATAGATGCCTTCAACATTTCCAGTACCGTCTGGTACTGTTTCGAACTGACACCGAACGTGTAGCGAGTGTTGGCCAGGTTCTTCGAAATCTGTCACATCTCAATAGAGGGAACATTTAGCTTGATGTCTATTCATGACTGGGTGTTCTTGGGGGCGTCGTACCTGTTCCACCAAATTTTCGTTGACTGAACCTTCGTCTGTCGCGGCCATTTCTGGGTTTTGTTCAGAATTCCATAGAGCTAAAATGCATATAGTAATACCCTAAAAAAAATCAAGGATATTCCTCCAAAGATCAATTATAGCTGAGCATAATTATATCTAAATATAAATTAAAGGAAGATGGTGATGTTTATAGAAACCCTGTTGCCCCGCGATGTTGAAAATTTAAGATTTACTTTTTACTCCATTAACTACTTCAGTAACTAACAATCTACCCCGTTCACTCTTAGCTAGCTCAAGCGCCTTCGCCTGCATCCACAGACCGCAGACAGATGATGGCCAGGCTTGGTCTATCACAACCTAGTAGCTAGAGCCAAGCAGGTAGCACGCCGCTAGAGAAGATATCCATATATAAATTGTGCGGTCGTACGGACTACCCAACTAGCTTCGAGCAGTCATTCAAGGCCCCGCCATTCTCTTCACCTGCCTGCCAATTCTTTTGCGATGCGAGTTTTCTTTGCCCGTTTGTCTGCTCCTTGACCCGTTCCTTTAGAAACCGAGGCGTTTGGGGTAGCATTCCGTTCATTGTCTCCCAGCGAACCAAGATAGGCGTTATTTCAGTCTGAAGGAGGGATTTCCACTCCTGGCAATGGTCAGTAGGCGACTCAGCTTACACTTCAGATCCTTCAGAAACTTGGAAGTCAAGACTCGACGGCGGTTGCTCTACATTGGAGCAGTTTC